CGGGTTGCTATTTCTATTTCTACAAAAAAAAAAAAAAAAAGGATTAGAAATTGGACAGGGATTTCATTTAATCTGTAGATTACATTGAGCAGTCTAGACAGCTTCATATTATTACTTCATAATTGGAATAAGATCATGCTGAAGACTGTATTTTTATTTATTTATTGAGATGGAGTCTTGCTCTGTTGCCTGGCTGGAGTGCAGTAGCATGATCTCAGCTCACTGCAACCTCCACATCCTGAGTTTTAAGCGATTCTTCTGCCTCAGCCTCCTGAGTAGCTGGAACTACATGTGTCTGCCACCACGCCCAGCTAATTTTTGCATTTTTTGTAGAGACAGGGTTTCACCATGTTGGTCAGGCTGGTCTCGAACTGTTCACCTTAGGTGATCGACCTGCCTCCCAAAGTGCTGGGATTACAGGCATAAGCTACCGTGTTCAGCGTCTTTTTAAATTTTTATATTGATAGGACCCCTTATACTTTCATGTATCTATACAAATACTTTGTAGTATCTTGGGAATTTAATAAAATTTCTTAATGTTAAAATAATGTATTTTAAACTGCCAATAATGGTTGCATTTGAAAATTCGTCATTACATTTGCCCTCAACTTTGTTATTGATATCACTAATCATATTTTATGCTGTAGATTAACAGATTATGACTGTTTATTTTTATGCTTTTATCTTTAAAATTTTAGAGACTAAAATGTTTTCTGCACTATTATAATGGTACAGAACCTTATATTTGTGTCTGTGCAAATCTTTTCCAGAAAGTTAATTAGTTTCATATGATTGTTTTATTTGTGTTCCCATTTAGCTCATTAAGAATTATTGAGGTTAAATTTTAAAAAAACTTGTACATCTTCATTTTGTGGCGGTTTTCTGAAAAATTTTAAATTTGACCATGTCATGCTAATATTTCATATGTATTATAATATTTACTTGCTATTTGAAGATAAACAAAAAGCTATTTGTTAGAATTTGACAATATTGCTTTGTCCTGACATAATCAGCAACCAATTGTCTTTGATAGAGATTACAGGAACCTCTCATACATGTTCTAAGGATGTGTCTTGTCTGGAATTTTGTTTTTCAGTTAAAACCATTTGTTCACATTTCTTCTTAATGGCCACTTGCTCTACCTACTCTGTATTTAACACTGCAGTCTGCTCCTGAAACCTTTATATTTTGTCTCAGCAAACCCAAGCTGTTCTTTCAAAGTATACTACTGTTTCTTTCAGCAGTCTATATTATTGGAGGGAGACAGAAATCAGTTTTGGTAAAAACCACCAAAAGACAGAATTAAGGATATGTGTGTCAGTATTTTTCTTCTTTTTAAAGAAAGAAGCCAACAATTGGCAGTTTATTTCAGAAGACACAATGCTATATTAGAGAGGAGGAAGAGCTGTGTACATGTAACAAATGTTCCTTCCTGGTCTATGTTGCTCTTGGCATTGTGCTTGCCTAAGCACAATGGCATTACACACAATTAACTCATTTAGAGATTTTGCATAAAGGCATCTTGATCAGTATATGTAGGCTAAATGTATATATCTGTGAAGGAATTTTGGCATGTGGTATTTTGCAACATAAGGGAATACATGCTGGAGAGAAACCATACAAATGTATGTGGCAAAGCCTTTAGACGGTCCTCAGCACGGAATAAACATTAAGGAAATTCATACTGGAGAGAAACCCTATACAGGTGAAGTATGTGGCAAAGCTTTTTACCAATCATCAAAGATTACACAGGCACACTCATTGTGAACAAAAACTTTACAAATGTGAAGAATGTTGGAAAACCTTTACTCAGTCCTCATCCCTTCATAAACATAAGAGAATTCATAGTGGTGAGAAACCTTACACACGTGAAGAATGTGGCAAAGTCTTTTATAGGTTCTCATACCTTACTGAACATAAGAGAATTCGTTCTGGGCAAAAACCCTGCAAATGTGAAGAATGTGGCAAAGCCTTTAGATAGTCCTCAGCATGGAATAAACATAAGAAAATTCATACTGGCGAGAAACCATACAAATGTAAAGAATGTGGCAAAGCCTTCAATAGTTCTACAGGCCTTACTAAACATAAGAAAATTTATACTGGAAAGAAACCCTGCACATGAGAAGAATGTGGTACAGCTTTTACTTGGTCCTCAACCCTTACTGTACATAGGAGAATTCATACAAGTGAGAGACAAAGTTGACAACATATTCGAATGAAGTTTTTTTGTTGTTCCATATTCTTCATTTCTTAAAATTCTTGTAGACACATAATATATATATATGGCATGTATTAGTTATTTGAATAAAAGCATACACCACATAATCCATTAGAGTAAATGAGTTCATCAAATATTTACTACAGATCATTTTATGATTGTTATAATTTATACGTTTCTGAATGCTGAATGAATACTTTAAAAATTTTCATATTTATCTTTGAACATGTAGCATCTGTATCCTATAAACACATACAGACTTTGACTTTATTTACGTGAAGTTAAAACATATCGCTCTAAAAATAAACCTTAAGAAAACTGTGGAGCAAGCAATAGTGTTTGTGTGAGAGTTTATACTATTTTCCAAAGAAAATATCAATATTGGAACAAAGAAGATTCTTTTAATAAGGTGGATAACTTACTAGAAATCTAGAAACCTAAAATCTGAAATCAAATGTGTTTCTTTGTAATTACTGTAAAATCTAATGAATTGTTGAGACTCTTCCCCATGTAAATTTTTTGTCTAGTACTCATGTTAGAGCTATAATTTACTTATTTCTATTGTTTTCACTTCAAGAAGTATTATGTGAGCTTACTGTTATAAAATTTCATACTGCACACAAAATTTTTAGATGCAAGTTCACAATTTGTGTAGTTATATTTTATCTAGTTAGAACATTTCATTTTGTTGCTTTAATTGGAGAACCCTATATAAGCTGTTTTCTTTAGTTGTTCCTTTCCTTCTTAATTGACATAAATGAGTTGTGTATTGGGCCAATTTGTTAAAGGTAAGTGCTGGGAAATCTTTATAAGTCATGGATATGTTTTGATACGTAATTGTATTCAACAAAGTGCTGGGTGTGTAATAGATGCTCCATAATTAGCCATATTCTTTCTGGAGTCAGTCTGTAGCTGCAAGTAAGAGACTGAAAATGCCAATAGTGAAGAAACGGGATTAATTCTGCATGTGGAGAGGACATCTGTTTCCAGACTGCAAAACTGACTCATTCTGAATTTAGATTTCTGTCTTTATATTCTAATTATCTGTAGTTTTGTGATAGCTTCATGTGTTTATCCACAGCTATGTATGCGTCACACCCTCTCCTTTGTGTTAGCCTCAGTTTACTCACTGTTCTCTTCATGCCATGTAATTTCACATTTTCTAGGTTCTGATAAGTTTGAATTTTTTTAATGTGGTAAATTGTTCCTAACTGGGCTGTTTGACATTATTTATAGCTTATCAATGCAGCATTTAGATTGCTTAATTTAGAAAGTATTTTACCCTTCACAGGTAAGATAATTAAGTCAGCATTTTTTTTAACGAAAGAAAATTTTTAAGTTGAATAAAGAATTCATATGAGTGGGTTGCATATTGTCAGCACCATATGAAAACAGAATTTTGAAATTTCTTAAGAGTAAATATATCTTAATAAGAGGTAAATTTTTTAGGAGACAATGGTAGAGGAAGAATTGTACATTTAATTTTTTATGACATACAGCAAAACTTTTTTTTCTTTTGAGATGGAGTTTCGCTCATTACCCAGGCTGGAGTGCAATGGCGTGATCTCTGCTCACTGCAACCTCCGCCTCTTGGGTTCAGGCAATTCTCCTGCCTCAGCCTCCTGAGTAGCTGGGATTACCGGAATGCGCCATCATGCCCAGCTAATTCTTTGTATTTTTAGTAGACACGGGGTTTCACCACACCATGTTGACCAGGATGGTCTCGATCTCTTGACCTCGTGATCCACCCGCCTCGGCCTCCCAAAGTGCTGGGATTACAGGCTTGAGCAACCGCACCCGGCCGAAACTTATTTTTTCATGCAGAATCTTGTTTTTGAATGTGAATCTGAAGTGTTAGAAAATAGAATGGTCTTTTTTGTCCAGACTGATATTGTAATCCTGAGGAATTTCTCTTAGGTATTTTTGTTTTAGTGGATGCAGTTCATGGTCTGCAATTTTTATGCTTAGTCAGGTAACTTGAACCAAGTCCTTGGTCACTTAGGAAAAATTTTGGAGAATATGGCAGCTGTTAAATTTAACATTTTCTCAGTGATTTTTAATGCAAATTCATTTACTTTGTTCACACCATGGCCAGTTACCCTTTAGCGACAGTTACCCTTTAAGTGCCTTCCCTATGATTACCATCAGCACTAGAAACTCAAGGTGCTTCAAGCTGAAATCAAGAGCCCTAGTGTACATCATCGTGTCTTATTTAGTGTTCTGGGTCTCAGACATGCTACTATTAGAGTCTGTGATGATTGTATTACAAAACTAGCACAAAAAGTATCTATTTTTGGTAATATTCAAGACAGAACAGACCAGCATTTGAAACGTTATTATCCTATGATGGTTTTTAAAATGCATTTTTAATGGACAGATATAGTGTTTCAAAGGCTTGAAATACATAGACATGCTCTCAAAGGCTTAATTCTAGGTAATTAACCAATGCTAAAACTCAATAGTAATTATTTTTGTGATGAGAGCACATAACACTTAGCATTTATCAAAAATACAATTCATTATGAAACTGTAGTCACCATATGCTGTACAATAGATTAGCCATCTGTAATTATGTATTTTTTCACAGACATCTCTCCAAATGCTCCTTTTTTCTAAATACCCAAGTATCTAATAAGCAGCATTCTATTGTCTGGCTTATTTTCACTTAGCATAATGTCCTCCAAATGTATTCATATTGTTTCAAGTGACAATATTTCCTCACTTTTCATGTGGAATTGTATTTCCTTGTGTATACCACATTTTAAAAAAATGAAATATCCACTTATTGGCTGAAAATTTTATTTATTCTGTATTAAAGCAGGTATTAATGAAATTTGGCTTTTTACACATTTTATTAATAATTTGTATTAAACCCTAACCATAACACTATAAATGTTAATTATCACAGTAACATTGTAGCATAAGTATTATTATTATTGCCCTTATTTTGCAGAGAAACAGAGCCACAGAGGAAAATTACTTGGTCACAATAGTGGAGTCAGTTTTAAAACACAGGCAACGTTGACTCCAGAGGAAACACTCTCCATTACAGTAAATACCCTCTTCAAACAAAATAATTGTCTTCACCCATTCTTAGTAAAAGTTTAAGAAAATTCAACCAATTGATACATTTTTGTGACGTGTGCGCACATGCAAATGTACAAAATATGATAAAGGAGAAAACCTTCCTGTATTTAATGAAACTATATAGACTCTAGAAATTGCCCTTTGATACTGACATGTACTGGGGAACACCCTTTCCTTCAGCTGTCCTTTTAAGAGAATGTATTCTCTGCAGGTTCACAAGGGGGCACAGTTTCAAAGGCAAGAACTTCCCAGTACCATGCCTCTGCCCACCTCTCCATTAGGGAGCTTAGAGGTCTTTTCATGCATGGGGGAAGACATCGTGGAAGCTGCTTTTCTTTCTCCTTTTTCTCTCTCTCTGCCTAAATAAATTTCTGCAAAATTTTTTTGGATTCAATATTTACTTAAAAGCCCACTGCGTCTGGCAACGTCCTTTCCCCCATTCTTGGGTAACTGAGGGACCAAGGGCCTGGAAAAACACAGCCCACCAGGGAGCAACCTGAGCCCATCACCTGCAGTTTGGTCACCATTCTCCATCCCTCCAGCAGTTCAGAATATAGCATAATTTTTACCTAAACCTGTAATCAGGAAATGCTATAATGGGATTAATCAAATATTTACTACAAATGCAAGCAGTATACTATGATTTAATTGCCTAATAAAATTTTTTTTTTTTTTTAGGAAGGGAAGGAGGAAGGCAGGAAGGGAGGGAGGGAGAGAAGGAAGGAAATCAGGCAATGAGAGAGACATTGCCGACCTGGATCGAGAGGTCTACAAGTTGATTTTTCTTTATAGAGAAAGAAAAAAGGAGTGAAGGAGAGAAACAGGAAGAAGAGGGAGAGAGAACGGAAATATTGCTTTATTCTGAAAAAAAGTGGGTATTAATAATGGCCAATCAATATTTGATTTAAACCTATGAGTAGGTGTGATGTGGTATTGACAAGAATGTATATTTTCTGTATTTAAAGTGGAGAGCTCTATATTTATTTTCCGGATCTGAGTTCGAGTCCTTGATATCCTTATTAATTTTCTGTCGCATTGAGTCTAAGTCTCTATGTATCTGGGTGTTAGGATCGTTAGCTCTTGTTGCATTGATCCTTTTACCACTATATCTTTGTTGCTTTAAAACCTGTTTTATCTGATACGAGAATTGCAACTCCTGCTTTTTATTTTTGCTCTGCATTTGGTTGGTAAATCTTTCTCCATCCCTTTGTTTTGAGTCTTTGTGTATCCTTGCATATGAAGTGGGTCTGGATGTAGCATACCGTTGAGTTTTGGCTGTATCTTTTGATTGGGGGATTTAGTCGATTTAAATTTAGGGTTACTGCCATTTGATGTTGGCTGTTTTGTCCATTCATTGATGTAAATTCTTTATGTTGCTGCTCTTTACTTTTTGGTGTATTTTTAGAAAGGCTAATACTGGTTGTTTCTGTGTGTAATGCTTCTTTCAGAAGCTCTTGTAAAGCAGGCCTGGTGGTAATGAAATCTCTGAGTACTTACTTGTTCACACAAGATTTTATTTTTCCTTCAGTTGTGAAGCTTAGTTTGGCTGGACATGAAATTCTGGGCTGAAGGTTCTGTTCTTTAAGGATGTTGAATATCAGCCCCCACTCTCTTCTGGCTTGTGGAGTTTCTGCTGAGAGATCTGCTGTGAGTCTAATAGGCTTCCCTTTGTAATTAACCTGACCTTTCTCTCTGGCTGCCCTTAGTATTTTCTCCTTCGTTTCAATCCTGGTGAATCTAACGATTATGTGCCTTGGGGTTGCTCTTCTCGAGGAATATCTTTGTGGTGTTCTCTGTACTTCCTGGGGTTGAATATTGTCCTGCTTTGCTAGTTTAGGAAAATTTTCCTGAATAATATCCTGAAGGGTATTTTCCACCTTGGATTCATTCTCTCCGTCACATTCAGGTACACCTATCAAACATTAATTTGGTCTTTTCATATAGTCCCATATTTCTTGGAGACTTTGCTCATTCCTTTTTATCCTTTATTCTCTAATCTTTTCTTCACGTTTTATTTCATTAAGTTGGACTTTGACCTCTGATATCCTTTCTTCTTGAATGATTCGGGTGTTTAAACCTGTGCATACTTCTAGGAGTTCCTGTATTGTATTCTTCAGTTCCATTAGTTCACTTATATTCCTCTCTAAGTTGTCTATTCTCATTAGGATTTCGTCAAACCTTTTTTCAAAGTTCTTAGTTTCTTTACATTGGGCTACAACATGTTCTTTTAACTCACAGAAGTTTCTTATTATCCATCTTATGAAGCCTGATTCTGTTAATGGGATGCACTCGTTCTCCATCAAGCCTTATTCCCTTTTTTTTTTGTGGGGGGGAGGAAGGGAGGAAGCGGGGGAGGGGGGGAGGGAAGGGAAGAAAGGAAATCAAGCAATGAAAGAGACATTGCCGACCTGGATCTAGAGGTTTGCAAGTTGACTTTTTTTTTTTTTGAGAAAGAAAGAAAAAAAATAAGGAGAGGAAGAAAGAGGGAGAGTAAATGGAAATATTACTTTATTTTGAAAAAAATTGGGTATTAAAAATGGCCAATCAATGTTTCATTTAAACTAATGGGTAGGTGTGATGTGGTATTGACAAGAATGTATATTTTGTGTATTTGAAGTGGAGAGCTCTATAAATATTAAGTTTACTAGTTCTGGATCTGAGTTCGAGTCCTTGATATCCTTATTAATTTTCTGTCTTATTGTGTCTAAGTCTCTATGTATCTGGGTGTTAGGATCGTTAGCTCTTGTTGCATTGATCCTTTTACCACTATATCTTTGTTGCTTTAAAATCTATTTTCTCTGATACAAGAATTGCAACTCCTGCTTTTTATTTATTTATTTATTTTTGCTCTCCATTTGGTTGGTAAATCTTTCTCCATCCCTTTGTTTGGAGTCTTTGTGTATCCTTGCATGTGAAACAGGTCTGGATGTAACATGCCGTTGGGTTTGGGCTGTGTCTTTTGATTGGGAATTCAGTCAATTTAAATTTAGGGTTACTGCCATTTGATGTTGACTGGCTGTTTTATCCATTCGTTGGTGTAAATTATTCTTTATGTTGGTGCTCTTTACTTTTTGGTGTATTTTTAGAAAGGCTAATACTGGTTGTTTCTGTGTGTAATGCTTCTTTCAGAAGCTCTTGTAAAGCAGGCCTGGTGGTAATAAAATCTCTGAGTTCTTGCTTGTTCATAAAAGATTTTATTTTTCCTTCAGTTGTGAAGCTTAGTTTGGCTGGATATAAAATTCTGGGCTGAAGGTTCTGTTCTTCGAGGATGTTGAATATTAGCCCCCACTCTCTTCTGGCCTGTAGAGTTTCTGCCGAGAGATCTGCTGTAAATCTGATAGGCTTGCCTTTGTGGGTAATCTGACCTTTCTCTCTGGCTGCCCTTAGTATCCTCTCCTTCGTTTCAATCCTGGTGAATCTAACGATTATGTGCCTTGGGGTTGCTCTTCTTGAGGAATATCTTTGTGGTGTTCTCTGTATTACCTGGGTTTGAATGTTGACCTGCTTTGCTAGTTTAGGAAAATTTTCCTGAATAATACCCTGAAAGGTATTTTCCAGCTTGGATTCATTCTCTCCGTCTCATTCAGGCACAACTATCAAACGTAAATTTGGTCTTTTCACATAGTCCCACATTTCTTGGAGACTTTGCTCATTCTTTTTTATCCTTTTTTCTCTAATCTTTTCTTCACATTTTATTTCATTAAGTTGGATTTTGATCTCTGATATCCCTTCTTCTGCTTGAACAATTCGAGTGTTTAAACCTGTGCATACTTCTTGGAGTTCCTGTATTGTATTCTTCAGTTCCATTAATTCACTCATACTCCTAAGTTGTCTATTCTCAATAGGATTTCATCAAACCTTTTTTCAATGTTCCTAGTTTCTTTACGTTGGGCTACATGTTCTTTCAACTCACCGAAGTTTGTTATTATCCATTCCTTGAAGAGTGATTCTGTCATCAGGATGCGCTCGTTCTTCATCAAGCCTTGTTCCATTGTCGATGTGGAACCGTGATCATCTTTAGAGGGAGAGGCGTTCTGACTTTGAGTATTCTCAGCTTTTTTACGCTGGTTTCTTCCCGTCATTGTAAATTTATCCTCTGTTGTCTTTGAAATTACCAACTTTCAGAATAGGTCTCTTGAGTGGACGTCCAGGTTGTTAGTTCCCAGGGCCAGAGCAGCGGCGTTAAAACTGATGGTGCTTTTCTGCCCAGGATTCTCCTGTCGGGCTTCCTTCTTGTTTCCGTAGTAGGCGACTTTGCCTTCCCGGGGATCCAAACCTCGGTCAGAAGGGGAAGCGTCCCGTTTACTCTGCGCCGAACGCTGCCGCGTGGAGGTGCCGGCAGAACCGCTGCGCTGACCACGAGAGTCGCGCTGGCAACTCGTGTGTTTCCACCACTGGGGGATCTTCTGCTCCGTGAGCGACCAGACTTTGAAAGTGTGGCGTCCTCTAGTTCTCCGCGCCTTCCCTGAGAGCTGCAATCCCGGGATGTTAGCAATCGGCCATCTTGGATCGTTCTCCGCCTTATTCCCTTTTTAATGAGGAACTGTGATCCTCTGTAGAGGGAGAGGCATTCTGATTTTGAGTATTCTTAGCCTTTTTACACTGGTTTCTTCCCATCATTGTAAATCTATCCACCTGTCATCTTTGTAATTATCAATTTGGAAATTAGGTTTCTGAGTGGACGTCCAAGTTGTTAATTCCCAGGGCCAAAATATGAGCAACCCACTGCGCCGGCCAAAATAGCGGTGTTAAGACTGATGGTGCTTTTCTGCCTGGGAATCTCCAGTCTGGCTTCCTTTTTGAGTCCATAATAGGCTACTCTGCCTTCCTGGAGCTCCAAATCTCAGTCAGAAGGGGAACCAGTCCCATTTACTCTGCACCAAGAGCTGCCACACTGAGGTGCCGGCAAAACCGCTGTGCCAGCCATAGGAGTCGCGCTGGCAACCTGTGCTGCTCCTCCAAACCTCATTCAGAAGGGGAACCAGTCCCGTTTACTCTGCACCAAGAGCTGCCGCACCAAGGTGCTGGCAAAACCGCTGCGCCGGCCAAGAGTCACACTGGCAACCTATGTGCTCCTCCACTGGGAATATTCTGCTCCGTTAGCGACCAAAATTTGTCTGAAAGTGTGGTGCCCTTTCGTTCTCTGAGCTTTCACTGAGAGCTGCAATCCCGAGATGTTAGCGATGAGCCATCTTGTATCCGTCAACTAATACAAATTTCTTAATTATTTCACTCTATATTAGTTTTCTTTCCATCTACGTTTTGCCTAGTACTACCAATTACCTTACAGTTGCCTTCCAAACAGTTTGTTTATAAAACTATCTCTGCGAACTTCAGCTCAGCAGTCTAGAGCACATAGCCCTGACCAGAGCCCTAGAACAAGAACCAGGGAGTTAGTTACTATTTATACAGATACAAAATATACCTTTTTAGTATTTCACAATTATGCCATCATTTGGAAAGAAAATTCTTTTTTTTTTTTCTTTTTTTGAGATGGAGTTTCACTTTTGTTGCCCAAGCTGGAGTGCAATGGCATGATCTTTGCTCACGGCAACCTCCCTCCCAGGTTCAAGCAATTCTGCCCCAGCCTCCCAAGCAGCTGGGTGGGTTTCTTCTTGCTGAACTGGCTGAATTAAGGAGAGTGGCTTAATTATTACAGACAGATGGACTGCCTTTACAAACTTGTCAACAAAAGAGGGTTTTTTTGTTTACAGCTGATGGAGATGGTCTCTCCCAAAGAGACAAGAATTATGGAGTGCCCTTATTTCTGCTGAAGGACCTCAGGAAAATAAAGAACCTCTTCCAGTTTATACAGTCTTTCAGGTCCTAGGGTATATTCAGGTTTGATAACACATTTATTTTTCTCTTGAGCATATTGCAGGTGGGCAAGTTGTTAGGCAAAATTGGGAACAAGGGCCATAAGGAGTTCCCCAGAAAGGGTGGTGGCCCTAGCTGCTTGGCCAATGCTGTTTCTCTAGGTAACTTCATATTGGCACTTCTGGTAACCCCAGCAATGAACTACAGATTTCTGTGGTAGGTGGATAGCCTGGAGTAGGTTAAAACTCTGTGACCCATATGTAATAGGGGTACCTTTGCTGTCAACAGTCCTTTTCTGGCAGAGCATGGTGGCTCATACCTGTAATCCCAACACTTTTGGAAGCCGAGGCAGGAGGATCACCCAAGGTCAGGAGTTAGGAAGAACAGCCTGACCAACATGGAGAAATGCCATCTCTACTAAAAATACAAAATTAGCCAAGCATGGTGGCCCATGCCTGTGACCAAAAGCTTACAAATAATCCTGCTGCTGGAACCCCAAATGTCCTTGGCTCATGAGCTCTATCGTGGACCTGAGGATCAACCTGCACCCCTGAAAGGATCCCCTGTGGAGAAAACCTCAACTACAGGGCCCCTTCAATGCCCAATTTCAGCAGGAAGTAAAGAGCAATAATTGCCCATGTTCCAACAGAAGTTGAACTTTGCTGTTCAGAGGGGGAAATGAGGGAAAGTGTTCTCTTTCCGGGTCCACAAGGGGGTGTCGTTTTAAGGGCAAAAACTTCCCAGAGCCATACCCCTCTCCCGTGCCTCTCCTTCCAGGAGTTTTAACAGTTTCTGTTTTAATTTTGGCAGGCAGGGGAAAAGGTCAAAAGTCAATCACTCTAGCAGAAGTTTAAGGGAACTCTTTTTCTTGGCCAGGGGTAATGTAAAGACTATTTCATTCAACCTGTCTGTCTCCCTCATCCAGGTTGACTTACCTCTCTAGGGTCCCCTTACACAACAATTGTGGTAGCTGCTGTTCCTCTGCTGGATTCCATACTTGGGTCCCATTCCACACTCCTGTTGTGGAAGCTGTCTTTCCTCTCTGGGATTTCCCCTCTGGGGTCCCCTTCCATACTCTTCATGGAAGCTATTGCATCTCCTTTTTCTTTCTCTCAGTAAATCACTTCTCCGCAAAAAAAAAAAAAAAAAAAAAAAAAGTATATTTATTATACATAAGAATATTACCACTAACAAAATTCTTTATATACAAAGAATATTACCACTAACAAATGCAGATGGGCTAGGACACCATGGTACTGGGTGGAGAACGGCTAATTCTTGAAAAGTGAAAGGTTTGAGTGATGTAGGCCTCATGCCACGCTGATTAGTCAGTCAGTAGGTAGTATATAAGACAAGATGATGTACTCTAGGGCTTTTCATTAAAACTAATGTATAAAAGATCACCTAACTTTTTCTTTGGGGCTGAGAGAATTTTGGGTGTTAGGCACTCCTAGTTGCCAGCTCAATAAAGGACTCATAAATCAATCAGAATGTGGTGCATTCCTTGACTCGCTTGGGCACAACAACATCAGATCAACTGAGCAGGTTATCTTTTTTTCTTGGCATCTCAAGTGCCACTACAGGAATAGCTGGCATAATTACTGCCTACTCAACTTACCACAACCTGTCTCTGGTACTGACTCACAAAACAGAAATCACTGCTCAGAGTGACAGCAACAAGTTGATTTTCTTATGGCTGTAGTTCCAAACTGTAGACGTCTTGCCACACCGGCTGCAGCTCATGAAAGAATTTGCCTTATGCAAGGAGAAAAATGCTCTAGGTTAACAAAGTAGGGAAAGTCCAGGACCATGTTAGAGATTTTATAAACCAGGCCTGTCACCATCAGAAACATGACACTTAGAGCTAGTTCTTCTGGGTGCCACCTGGTCCCAATTCTCATGACATCTCATTTTTGGGGGATCCCTAGTCTTTGTCTTTTTTCTTTGTGGGCCTTGCTCACTAAATCAAGTAACCAGGTTTGTTTCCTCTCACCTAGAAACTCAGTCTTCAAACGGTCCTGCAATAGGAATATCGGCCTATTTTCCTCCCTTCTGGACAACCATGTTCCTCCACATTTTCCTCTGGACATTGCAAGTTGAACCTTCTGGAAGAACATTGAGGGAATCTGTTTCTGACAAAGAGCAAGATAATGAGACACTGATGAGTTCTTTATATAAGCAGGAAGTATTTACAGAAGAACCCACAGTGCCCCTAGACTCAAAGATTAATTATAGAGTCTCAAGCTATTGAGCAAATTTTAGAGTGGGGAGTTAGTTAGACATGAGCAGAAAAAAAGAGCCCCTGGGGAGAAATAATCTCATGCTCAAAAGACAACCCAAAACATGTATGCTAAATTTGAACGGAGAGGAGTACAAATGCCTATGAAGTACACCTGGAAACACCCCTAAAGATACCCAGTAATTGCTCATACTGTGATTAAACTGTCAAGATGTAACTAGCTACATGCTAATAAAAAGGGGAAAAGGGCAAAAGGAAAATTCCTAAGAGATAGGCCCAATAAGTACAGATTTGACTGCTATGTGATTTTCCTAGGGTGGTGGTAATAAGCAACGCTGCCATTAACTCATTGATCACTGGAACAATCAGCTGATAGTAAGGAAGCATCTCAGACCTGGGCAGAAACTCAGTGAGGATAAAGACATTTACCTGGAAGCAGGAAACTAAACAAAGAAAAGGCCAGACACTTAAGACAGAGGTGAGAATTTTTTTGTTAAAGTCTGTGATAAAAACGGCAACATGTAACTCTCAAGGCTGTTTCCAGCTGTGCCACCCCATTCCTCTTTTAGTGTGTACTCTATTTTCCTTTGATAAACTCTTGGCTTCCTTCACTAATTGTCTCCAGTCTAAATTATTTCTCTCAAGAAAACAAGAACTAAGAAACTTACAATTACTGGTAACACTTTCACCCGCCCCCAGCTCTTGACAAACACTTCTGTATTTTGTTTTTATGAGCTACTAAAAGTATCTCACATAAATGAAATTATAAATTTAACTCCTACAAAATTCAACCCTGTGGAGAAGTCACCCTAACTGCTATTAGGGGTTTGGGGACGACTCTTTCTGGCTACTTCCTGCTAATTTAGTAGGGGTATCTTTTGCTGTCAAGATCCTCTTTCTAAATGGCTGCATATGTATAGTCTTTTCTAAAAGGCATATTTGAAGTTTGTATTAATAGTAACTTTTTCATCCTTTCTTAGTTCTAGGGCTCTGAGTTTTGACTGCTGAGATGAGGTTCCTGGAGATAATTTGAAGTTTTATAAACAACTATTTGGGGAGCAACTCTAAGATAACTGGTAGTATTTAGACAAAACTGAGAAACAGACACAAAGAAAACTAATAGAGTAAAATAATTATTCGATTCAGTAATTTTGCACTTAAGGTAATAAAATCACCGTGTATTAGATGTGTTTCTTAATACAGCATTTGCTGACTAGTTCTGGGTAAAAAAAAATATGCTATAAGTATTCTGAATTGCTGGAGGGGTGAGGAAGCATAATTGAAAGGAAATTGTTTCCACATGTCAGTATCAAAGAGCAATTTCTAGAGTTTTTATGGTTTAAATTGAGGAAGTATTTCTCTTTTCTGTATTATAATATATACATTTACACATGTATATAAGAAATGTAATTTATATTAAAAATAGGTGAAGATAATGTATTTTTTTTATTTGAAGAGAGTGTTTGCTGTAATAGTTAAGAGTGTTATCTCTGGAGTCAAAGTTGCCTGTGTTTTAGTACTGGTTCTGCTGTAGTGAGGAAGTCATTTTTTTCTGTGGCTCTGTTCCTCCCTCTGTAAAATACGGATAATAACTATGCTAGCTATTTTCTGTGAAAATTAACACATATAAAGTGTTATGGTTAGTATTTGGTATAAATTAATAGGTATATGCTGAATTATATTAATGTAACTAATGAATATTTGAATTCAATGGCTGCCATAATCTCCGAATTTTTTTCCAGAGAAGGTGACCAAGAACTTGGAATAAGTTAGTTGACTAAAGATGAAAACTGTATCCCATGAACTGCATCCACTAAAACAAAGCAAAAAATCATAACACATGCCTCAAGATTGTAATATGAATTTCCATAAAAAAGATCATTGCAGATTTTGAGTCTACATAGATTAGTTTTTCCAACACTTAACCTTTACATTGAAAAATAGAAGATTCAGCATTAAAAAAATAAGTTTTGCTATGCCATAGAAAATGCTATTTAAAATTCTTCACATACCATTAAGTCTCTTAAAGTTTACTTCTAAGTGTATGTTATCTTATGAGATTTCAAAATTGTAATATATTTCTCTTCATATGGCGCTTACAATATGCAACCAACTTATATTAATGCTTTACCTATTCTGACTTAGATTACATTCAATACACTGTGTTAGAATCTCATACAATTTTTCTCTTTACAAAAAACAGAAACAATGTTGACTTAATCTTCTTACTTGTGGACAGTGAATTACTTTTATCTCAGTTAAGTGATATGAATGTTGCATTGATAAGCTATAAATAATCTCAAACACCCCAGTTAAAAACAATAATTTATCACATTAAAAATTCCAATCCTCTGTAATTTGGACAATCCTCAGCCCTTTGGGAGGCTGAGGCGGGCAGATCATGAGGTCAGAGGTTCGAGACCAGTCTGACCAACATGGTGAAACCCATCTCTAAAAATAAATAAATTTTAAAGATAACAAAAAAATTCCAATCTTCTCATTGAATCCTAGAAAGTCCATAGAAATTACATAGGATAAAGATAACAATGAGGAAAATGTAGCCATAACACAAAGAAAAAGACCTGTGAGGCATACATAGCTGGGGATAAACACATGAAGACATCACAAAACTAAAGATAATCAGAAAATAAATACATAAATCTTCTTTAAATTCAGAATAAGTCAGTTTTGCAGCCTGGGAACAGTTGTCCTCTCCACATATACAATTAATGCCATTTCTTCACCATAAATATTTTCAGTCTCTTACTTGGAGCTACAAACTAACTCCAGGAATATTTATGGCTAGTTCTAGAGCATCTGTTACACACCCAGCACGTTCTTGTGTTTGTTCAGTACAATTATATATCAAAACATCCCTATGACTTCTGTTTTCCCAGTATTTACCTGAACAAATTGACCAAATAAAGAAACCCATTTATGTCAATTATAAAAAGTGAAAGGAACAATAACTAAACAGCTTATCTAAGGTTATCCAATTAAAATGAAATGTTCTAATTAAATACACACGTTGTGAAATTGCATCTAAAAAGTACTTTCTGTACACTAAATTGTTAAAGAAAACCCATTATTATAATTTCTGACCAGCTCACATACTTTATGAAGTAAAAAAATAAAAATAAAAAACAAGAAACAGCTCTAGTGTGAGTACCATATAAAAATAGAATTTGCATGGGGAGATTCTCAACAATGATGCATTAGATTTTACAGTAAATAAATAAAAAATATATAGTCTTTTTTAGTCTCAGCTATTATCATACTAGCAACTGCTGCTATTGCAGCTGATCCTCTGACAGAATCTATTCGCACAGCCTCAGTGGTGAACCACATGGTATACAATGTAACCCATCAATTTCAAGAACAGGTAAATATTGATACAACTGTTCTGTCTCTCCTGGACTCTTGAAGCTGCTGTTGAATGGCTGGGGAATCAGCAGCAGGCATTCATTACCTGTCAAAATTTACACTGTGATTGGCAATATAATTTTATCTGTAGCACACCCCTGCCATTTAATAGCTTAAAATATGCTTGGCAGAGAGTGGAAGCACATCTTCAAGGGTCTTATAACAATTCGTCTTCTCAAATTTCCACTCTTGAGTGTAAATTAAAGAAATAAAGAATGGTCGCAGCTATACAAACAAGTAGCCTTCCGGAATCACAAGAAGGATTTTGATGGTTAAACCCAAACACTTGGTTGTCTGGGTTAAACATAGGTATTTGGGTGATGGCCGCTATACTTATTCTTTTTTATATCTATTTGCTAGGCATTTGCAGATGGCTCTGTGCTGCCATCGACACATCTACGGCCAGAGAAAAATAGAAGCTTACCTTGCATTGGATAACTGCAGGCTCTAAGAGTTAAAGAATTGGTACATGTGGGGGAGTGCACAGCAATATGTTCAAGCTTATGTACAAGGCATTTGAGGTTAGGGTATGGAAACATACTGAGGCACTGTGTGTATATTATTTGTGCATGAGAATGAAACTCGACCCTGAAAACAGGACAGAGTGGAGTCTGTGGTGTAATAAGGAATGCTGAAAAGAGCCTCCTGAGAATGCAGTTGGAATATCATATAAGGTCACAGGTGCCTCACTAACCGACTCAAAAAGCCATCTAGTGGATGGATGTTAGTAGGTAATACAAGCCCTTTCAATACATACTTGGCAGACATATGCTGGGGCGGACTCTCTCAGAGGAGCTACCCCCAACCCCATTCAGCTGGAATGTCTGAGTACTTTATTCTCAGCATTCACTGCAAGCTATAAGCTTTGCACCAAAATATACCCTTTGCACATGTCAGTCATGGTATGGAAGTAATCCTGCCCAGACACCCACAGAAACATCCATCAGTAAGTACCCCTGGATGTAGGCTTACCAGTATTTATTTAATGGTGGATCTTGACGTGGCACTATAACCTGGCTCCAAGTCCAGAAGTTTTTCCTAACCTGGTACCTGTCAAAAAGCACACCTATATGTGCCATTGTAGGCATGCTGGCTGACTTTATTCCTTTTGTGAATCTTGAAGCGGTCCTATAACCAACCTAGAGTCTGAGCTACATCAGACTATTATCAGCTAGAGTCTGTGAGAAGTCCTACCCACCCAGAAATCCAGAGGGAGCAATGCCGTGAACTCAAAAACAGACCTGAAGACATTGATCTACGAACCTGTCCAATCACTAGGTTAGAGCATTTCCAAACACCCAGCAAGAGCCACACAGCAGGAGCCACACCTACTCACAATGAGTGTATCAGTACCTTAATCTGCAGATATAATTGGAGGGTTTTTTCCCCGCAGTGCCAGTGACATTGATCAACATCTTGAAGAAAGTTCACTTTTCTCAGAAAATAGAATCCACAACTGTCTGATGCCCCGATAACAGGTCTGACAATCATGAATTTCACTGCAAACCCAGTAGTAGTTGTTATGTGACCTGGATCCAAAGCACTTTATTATAATCTCAGTGGAAATCTCATCAGCCCAGAAATCCAATAAAAGATACTTACCTCCCCAGACTAGTATATAATGACTGAAAGAAGTATTTACTCCTTCAGATGCAATGATATCAAAACAAGGCTTTAAAAATTATGAAGAATCAGAAAAACGTAACACCATCAAAGGAAACTAAAAATGATCCAGGAACCACTAACAATGAAATATAGATCTAAAAAATGGCTAACAGAAAATGTTACCCACAAAGGGAAGCCCATCAGACTAACAGCAGATCTCTCTGCAGAAACCTTATAAGCCAGAAGAGAGTGGGGCCAATATTCAACCCTCTTAAAGAATTTTCAACCCAGAATTTCATGTCCAGCCAAACTAAGCTTCATAAGTGAAGGACAAGCAAATGCTGAGAGATTTTGTCACCATAATGCCTCTCTTACAAGAGCTCCTGAAGAAGCACTTAACATGGAAAGGAAACACCAGTACTACCCACTGCAAAAGCATACCAAATTGTAAAGACCATTGATACTATGAAGAAACTGCATCAACGAATACACAAAATAATCAGCAAGTATCATAACAGGACCAAAGTTACACATAACAAATTAACCTTAAATGTAAATGGGCTAAATGCCCCCAATTAAAAGACAAAAACTTTTTAAATTAGATAAAGAGTCTCAAAATTATATAAAGATCCATCAGTGTGCTGTATTCAGGAGACCCATCTCATGTAAAGACGCACATGAGCTCAAACGATGGAGGAATATTTACCAAGCAAATGAAAAGCAAAAAAAAAAAGTGGGGGGGGGGGTTGCAATTCTAATCTCTGATAAAATCAGACTTTAACAAAGATTTAAAAAAAGAAGGTAATTACATAATGGTAAAGGGCTCAATGCAACAAGAAGAGATAACTATCCTGAATACATATGTACCCAATACAGGAGCACCCAGATTCATAAAGCAAGTTTGTAGAGACCTACAAAGAGATGTAGACTCCCACACAATAATAGCAGGAGACTTCAACAACTCACTCCGTCAATATCAGATGGATCAACAAGACAGAAAATTAACAAGGATATTCAAAACTTGAACTCAGCTCTGGACCAAGTGAACCTAAACACATCTACAGAACTCTCTACCTCAAATCAACAGAATATACATTCTTCTCAGAACCACATCACATTTATTCTAAAATTGACCACATAATTGGAAGTAAAACACTCCTCAGCAAATACAAAAGAACAGAAATAATAAAAAACCGTCTCTCAGACCACAGTGCAATCAAATTAGAAGGATTAAGAAACTCACTCAAAAGCCGCACAACTACACAGAAACTGAACAACCTGCTCCCGAATGACTACTAGGTAAATAACAAAACTAAAGCAGAAATAAATACATTATTTGAATCCAATGAGAACAAAGATACAATGTACCAGAATCTGGGACACAGCCAAAGCAGTCCTTAGAGGGAAATTTATAGCACTAAAATGCCCACAAGAGAAAGCAGGAAAGATCTAAAATCAATACCATATCACAATTAAAAGAACTAGAGAAGCAAGAGCAAACAAATTCAAAAGCTAGCAGAAGACAAGAAATAACTAAGATCAGAACTAAACAGAACTGAAAGAGACAGAGACATGAAAAACCCTTCCAAAAACTCAACAAATCCAGGAGCTGGTTTTTTGAAAAGATAAAAAAAAAAAAAAAAAAATAGACCACTAGCATGACTAATAAAGAAGAAAAGAGAGAATAATCAAATAGACACAATAAAAAATGATAAAGGGGATATCACCATTAATCCCACAGAAATACAAACTACCATCAGAGAATACCGTAAACACCTCTATACAAATAAACTAAAAATCTAGAGGAAATGGATAAATTCCTGGACACATACACTTTCCCAAGACTAAATGAGGAAGAAGGCGAATCCCTGAAGAGACCGATAGATAACAAGTTCCAAAATTCAGGCAGTAATTAATAGCCTACCAACCAAAAAAGCCCCATGGAATCACAGCCAAATTCTACCAGAGGTACAAAGAAGACTGGTACCATTCCTTCTGAAACGGTTGGAAACAACAGAAAAAGGACTCCTCCCTAACTAATTTTATGAGGCCAGCATTCTGATAACAAAACCTGGCAGAGACACAACAAAAGAAGAAAATTTCAGGCCAGTATCCCTGATGAACATCAATGTGAAAACCCTCAATAAAATGCTGGCAAACCAAATGAATCTAGCAGCAGCACATCAAAAAGCTTATACACCATGATCAAGTCAGCTTCATCCCTGCAAGCCTGGTTCAACATACACAAATCCATAAACATAATTCATCACATAAATAGAACCAATGACAAAAACCACATAATTATCTATTACAATAAATGAAGAAAAGGCCTTTGATGAAATTCAACACCCCTTTTGTGCTAAAAACTCAGTAAACTACATATTAATGGAACGTATCTCAAAAATAATAAAAGCTATTTATGACACACCCACAGCCAATATCATGCTGAATGGGCAAAAGCAGGAAGCATTCCCTTTGAATACCAGAACGAGTCAAGGATGCCCTGTCTCACCACTCCTATTCAACACAGTATTGGAAGTTCTGGCCAGGGCAGCCAGGCAAGAGAAAGAAAGAAGAAAGAAAAAACGTGTATTCAAATAAAAAGAGAGGAAGTCAAATTGTTTGTTTGCAGATGACATGATTATATATTTAGAAAACCCCATCATCTCAGCCCAAAATCTCCTTAAGCTGAGAAAGCAAATTCAGCAAAGTCTCAAGATATAAAATCGATGTGCAGAAATCACAAGTATTCCTATATACCAATAATAGAGAACCAAATCATGAATGAACTCTCATTCACAATTGCTACAAAGAGAATAAAATACCTAGGAATACAACTTACAAGGAACGTAAAGGACCTCTTCAAGGAGAACTACAAACCACTGCTCAAGGAAATAAGAGAGAACACAAACAAATGAACAAACATTCCATGCTCATGAACAGGAAGAATCAGTATCATGAAAATGGCCATAGTGCCCAAAGTAATATATAGATTCAATGCTATTCCCATCAAGCTACCATTGACTTTTGTCACAGAATTAAAAAAAACTACTTTAAATTTCATATAGAACCAAAAAAGAGCCGACATAGCCAAGAGAATCCTAAACAAAAAGAACAAAGCTGGAGGCATCACACTACCTGACTTCAAACTATATTGCAAGGCTACAGTAGCCAAAACAGCATAGTACTGGTACCAAAACAGATATGTAGACCAACAGAACAGAAGCCTCAGAATTAACACCACACATCTACAACCATCTGATCTTTGAGAAACCTGACAAAAACAGGAAATGGGGAAAGGCTTCCCTATTTAATAAGTGGTGTTGGGAAAACTTGCTAGCCATATGCAGAAAACTGAAACTCGACCCCTTCCTTACACCTTATACAAAAATTAACTCAAGATGCATTAAAGACTTAAACATAAGACCTAACACAAAAACAACGGTATTGCCTAGAAGAAAACCTAGGCAATACCATTCAGGACATAGGCATGAGCAAAGACTTCATGACTAAAAAACAAAAAGCAATGGCAACAAAAGCCAAAATTGACAAATGAGACCTAATTAAACTAAATAGCTTCTGCACAGCAAAAGAAGGAATCATTAGAGGAACAGGCAACCTAGAGAATGGGAAAATAATTTTGCAATCTATCCATCTGATAAACAACCCTATCAAAAAGTGGGCAAAGGATGTGGGCAGGCACTTCTCAAAAGAAGACATTTATGCGGCCAAGAAATGTGAAAAAAAAATCTTATCACTGGTCATTAGAGAAATGCAAATCAAAACCACAGTGAGACACTATCTCATACCAGTTCAAATGGCGATCATTAAAAAGTTAGGAAACAGATGCTTACGAGAATGTGGAGAAATAAAAATGCTTTTACACTGTTTGTGGGAGTAAAATTAGTTCAACCATTGTGGAAGACAGTGTGGCAATTCCTCAAAGATTTAGAACCAGAAATACGATCTGACCAGCAATCCCATTACTGGGTATATACCCAAAGGATTCTAAATCATTCTGCTACAAAGATACATGCACACATATGTGTACAGCACTGTTCACAATAGCAAAGACTTGGAACTAACCCAAATGCCCATCAATGACACACTAAAGAAAATGTGGCACGTATACACCATGGAATACTATGCAGTCATAAAAAAGAATGAGTTCATGTCCTTTACAGGAACAAGGATGAAGCTTGAAACCATCATTCTCCAAAAACTAACACAAAGACAGAAAACCAAACACCGCATGTTCTCACTCATAAGTGGGAGTTGAACAATGAGAAAATCTGGACACAGAAAGGGGAACATCACACACCAGGACCTATCAGGGGTGGGGGTAGGCAAGGGATAGTATTAGGAGGAATACCTAGTGTAAATGATGGGTTGAAGGGTGCAGCAAACCACCATGGCACGTGTATACCTATGTAATGAACCTGCATGTTTGCACATGTATCTCAGAACTTAAAGTATAATAATAAAAAAATCGCTAACAGAATTCAAAAAATTATCTTAAAAAATCTAGATAAGATGCAAAAGTACACAGATTAACAAATTTTTTTCAACAATGCATTAGGAAAATTAATTATAATAAAAAAAGATAAAACATTAAAAAGCAAGCAAGGAGATCTGCTGAAGCTGAAGTACACAATAGTAGAACTAAAACATTTAACAGAAAGCTTTAACATGAGACTCAGTTATCAGGGCAAAAAAACACCAGCAAACTTGTTATTTGAGGCTGGGTGCGGTGGATCATGCCTGTAATCCCAGCACTTTGGGAGGCCAAGGTGGGTTGATCACCTGAGGCCAGGAGGTCAAAACCAGCCTAGCTGACATTGTGAAATCCCGTCTACTAAAACTACAAAAATTAGCCAGGAGTGGTGGCGGGAGCCTATAATCCCAGCTACTCAGGAGACTGAGGCAAGAGAATTGCTTGAACCTGGGAGGCAGAGGTTGTAGTAAGCCAAGATCACACCACCGCACTCCAGCCTAGGCTACAGAGCAAGACTCAAGTCTGAAAAAAAAAACTCATTTGAAAGTTCCTAATTACAATTTTTTAAAAAGTGAGTGAACTACAAACCACTGCTCAACAAAATAAGAGAGGACACAAACAGATGGAGAAACATTCCATGTTCATGCTTAGGAAGAATCAATATCGTGAAAATGGCCATAGTGCCCAAAGCAATTTACAGATTCAACACTATCCCCATCAAGCTACCAATGACCTTCTTCACAGAACTAGAAAAAACTACCTTAAACTTCATATGAAACCAAAAGAGAGCCCGCATAGCCAAGTCAATTCTAAGCAAAAAAAAAAAAAAAAAAAAAAAAAAATCAGGAGGCATCATACTACCGGACTTAAAACTATACTACAAGGCTACAGTAATCAAAACAGCATTGTACTGGTACCAAAATAGAGATATAGACGAATGGAATACAACAGAGGCCTCAGAGGCAGCACAACATATCTACAACCATACAATCTTTGATAAACCTGACAAAAACAAGCAATGGGGAAAGGAGTCCCTGTTTAATAAATGGTGTTGGGAAAACTGGCTACCCATGTGCAGAAAGCAAAAACTGGACCCCTTCCTGACACCTTACACTAAAATTAACTCCAGATGGATTAAAGACTTAAACATAAGACCTAACACCATCAAAACCCTGGAAGAAAATCTAGGCAAAGCCATTCAGGACATAGGGGTAGGCAAGGACTTCATGTTCAAAACACCAAAAGCATTGGCAACAAAAGCCAAAATAGACAAATGGGATGTAATCAAACTCCACAGCTTCTGCACAGCAAAAGAAACAGTCTAAATTAGAATGAATCGGCAACCAACAGAATGGGAAAAACTTTTTGCAGTTTACCCATCTGACAAAGGGCTGATATCCAGAATTTACAAAGAACTCAAACAGATTTACAGGAAAAAAACAAACCCATTCAAAAGTGGGCAAAGGATATGAACAGACACTTTACAGAAGACATACATGAGGCCAACAAACATATGAAAAAATGCTCATCATCACTGGTCATTAGAGAAATGCAAATCAAAACTACATTGAGATACCATCTCGTGCCAGTTAGAATGGCGATCATTTAAAAATCTGCACACAACAGATGCTGGAGAGGATGTGGTGAAATACGAACACTTTTACACTGCTGGTGGGAGTGTAAATTACTTCAACCATTGTGGAAGACAGTGTGGCGATTCATCAAGGACCTAGAAATAGAAATTCCACTTGACCCAGCAATCCCATTACTGGGTATATATCTGAAAGGATTATAAATCGTTCTACTATAAGGACACATGCACACGAATGTTCATTGCAGCACTGTTTACAATAGCAAAGACCTGGAATCAACCCAAATGCCTATCGATGATAGACTAGACAGGGAAAATGTGGCACATATACACTATGGAATATTATGCAGCCATCAAAAACGATGAGTTCATGTCCTTTGTAGGGACATGGATGAACCTGGAGAACATCATTCTCAGCAAACTGACACAAGAACAAAAAATGAAATACCGCATGTTCTCACTCATAGACAGGTGTTGAACAAAGAGAACACATGGACACAGGGAGGAGAGCACTACACACTGGGGTCTGTTGGGGGGAATAGGGGAGGGGCAGTGGGGGGGTGGAGAGTTTGGGAGAGATAGCATGGGGAGAAATGCCAGATATAAATGAAGGGGAGGAAGGCAGCAAATCACACTGCCACCTGTGTATCTATGCAACTATCTTGCATGTTCTTCACATATACCCCCAAACCTAAAATGCAATTTAAAAAAAGTGAGTGAATAAAGCATATAGCTTCAATAATCTGTTAACAGTATATAATATAAAAAGACGTAAAGTGTGACACAGTGTGTTGAAGGGGGTAAAACTGTTTAATAATTTTATACATAGAAGTTAACTTTTGCTTGAGGCCAGGAGTTCAAAACCAGCCTGGTCAAATATAGCAGGACCCTGTCTCTAAATACATAAATAAAATAAAATAAATATTTCAGAAAGCTATTTAGCCTTTTTTTAAAAAGCAGCAGCTAGGCCTGATAATGTATGTCTATGAACCTAGCACTTTGTGAGACCAACAAAGATGGATTTCTTGAGCCCAGGGGTTCAAGACCAGCCTGAGCAACATGGCAAAACCCTGTCTCTACAAAAAAATACCAAAAAAGTTAGCTGGATGGACATGGTGGCATATGCTTGTAGTCCCAGCTGCTCAGGAGGCTGAGATGGGAAAACTGTTTGATAGAGGAGGGTTTGAGGCTGCATTGAGTTATGAATGCACCATTGCACTACAGCCTGGAAAACAAAGCAAGACCCTATGTGGATAAAAGCAGAAATCAGATTGTTATCTTAAGCTAGACTTTTGTAACTATGAGATAATTTATGTCTCTTAATTACCAAAAAAAAAAAAACAACAACTAGTAGACACACACACACACACACACACACACACACACACACAAACCAAAGCATGTAACCGTAAAGCTGGTTGACTCGCCGGGAGCTCTGACACGGCCATTCCTCTCCCCACCTGAAAATTACGTCGCCAGAATATGCCCATCATCTAGCTCAGTCTTGGAAATCCCTTCTGCACTCGGCACTCAACCCTGCCCTTGGAAATCCCCTCTGCACTCGGCAACTAGCCCACCGTTGGAAAGCCCTGCCAAAACCTGCCCAATAGCACATTGCCCCATCCGGAAATCCCACCTACCTACCTATAGCAGCTTGCCATGTCCACGTCCTGTTTCTCCACAGCCAATCAAACGCCTTCACTCCCTATAAAACCCCTCACCCAGAGGAGTCTGGTGTGACTTCTCTGGCCTCTTTCCCCTGGGACCACAGAACCTCACCCAGGAGCCGAATAAATTGGCATTTAATCTTATTGTGCTGGCCTCAGTTTCCTCATTTTAAACTTGGTAATGAACCTCGCAAGGCAATAACCCTTATAATAATAAAAACAACAAAAACTCAATATTACACAAGAGAAGGCAGCATGAAAGAATTAAACAGAAACTACTAAGTGGTCAGAAAACAATGAATGAAATGGTAGTACTAAGTTCTATCTGTACCTTTTATCTTTTTTGTTGTCTTTTTCTTTTTCTTTCTTTTATTGGGACAGAATCTCAGTCTCCAAGGCTGGAGTGCAGTGACACAATCTTGGCTCACTGTATCCTCCGCCTTCTGGGTTCAAGCAATTCTCCTGCCTCAGCCTCAGTTATTAAAAGAAAACTGAAGAACTACTCATTGGTTTTTCCTTTCCTAATTGTTTCTGTGAAGTGAGACGTGGGTGGTGGGAATAAGAAATCAGACAGTCTACCTACCACCCTGCATGTGTGTACACGTGTGCACATGCTGTCTACATGTAATCCACTCCCTTTTGTTTCCTTTGAAACTTTGTAAAATTAAAATGGGGGGAATCCTATATGTTGCAATGGTAGCTTCTTGGAAAATTTAAGAAATCAAACTCTCCAGGTTCTCCATCTTAATGTATGCTTGAGTTGTTATGTACCATATTTACTTTGAATGCTGATTATCAGAAGTTTGACTAAAATGTTGAAGAAAAAATTCACTTTCATCTGCTTTCTAGATTTTGTACATCTCATTACTAAAGCAAAGCTTGCTGACAGCGTAATTTTCTAAATGCTGCAAAATTTGCAGCCATTACCATAACAAAGAGGTTTGAATAAGGAATTTTTTTTTCTTTTTTACAATAGTTCCTGTTTCTGTAGAAATTTCATTTTTAGATTAAATTGCAATGGAGTAGCTATTAAAAAAAAAAACAGAACGAAAGAAAATGAGATCTCAGGAGAAATCACTCACTAAGGTGAAGACAGCACCAAAGGGGATAGTGCCAAACGATCCATGAGAAGCCAACCCTATGATCCAATCACTTCCCACCAGGCTCCACCTCCAATATTAGAGATTATGATTTGATGTGAGATTTGAATGGAGCCACAGATCCAAACCATATTATTTACAAAAGCCGAAAAGTGAAAAAACTCAAACATCCTTCAACAGATGAATAATTTAAAAGGATGTGGCTTACACATACAATGAAAAATTCTTGAGACTCAAAAGAAAATATCTTACCAGATGCTACAAGAAGGATAAATCTTAAAGCCATTATTTTAAGCAAATAAGACACTAACAAAGTGACAGTGTATGATTATACTTATATAAGATAATTTAAGGAATACATTCCTAGAAAACTAAGTAGAAAGGTGCTTGCCTATAATTAGGGTTGTCAAACCTCAGTGGAGTCAAGAGATCAAGGAGGGTTATTTGGAAATAGCAGGCCCTCACCCACGTGCCAACTCCAGAGCCCATAGACATGGCTACAGACATAGAAAGAGGGTACGCAGCTTCGTCTTACTGGGGATTCTGAAGCAGTTCTATAACCTCTTTCAAATTCAGTCTCAGCTATAGTCCAGAAGTGGTCCTTCCCATCAAGAGACCTGTAGGAAGACACACCCAGCCAGGGCCCCGGAGACACGCCTGCAGACCATAGCCTTAGCTGTCCCTGACGCAGCCCTGTGACTCAGTTCTAGCCATTTCTAGTCACAGTCCATGGCCATTTGCACACAATCAGAGGCCCACAGAGAGACCTCCAAAAATTGTTCTCAGGCAGTCAGTAGAAGCCAAATCCATTCATACACCTAATACTTGGACCATCACATGTACACAAACTTCAAAACCCAACCCTACAGTCTGCCATATAGATTAATGTCCTCAAGGAAATCTAATCTTTCCTGGACCCAGAAAGAATCTATGACTGTGCAAATCTCTGGTAATACAACCATCAAAGGCAGACCCCACAGCAGCACCTTTGTGACGCAGCTACAACCCTTCTCTGCAACACCAGAGGTAATCTCATCAACCGGCGGACCCAACAAAAGGAGATGTTTACCTGCCAAAAAATAGATTATAGAAACTGTAATCACTGTTAAATCCTTAAAATATACAGACACAAAGCTGCTTCAGGGACCAGGAGGCCAATGTCTGCAAGCTTGCCTCCAGGACAACAGCTTCTATCTTAACATATGACTGAAAGCTTGTATCAGAACAATTAGGCAAAGAAAATGAGAACAAAGCTCTCCTGCTTGCAAAAGAAGTAAAAATGTTACTGTTTGTAGATAATGTGCATTCATTAAGGTATCAGAATACATGATCAACATACAAATATTTGTGGGGTTTTTTTTGTTTGTGTTTTTGAGACAGGGTCTTACTCTGAGGCCCAGGATCAGCTCAAACTCTTGTGCTGAAGTGATCCACGTGCTTTGGCCTCTGAAAGTGCTTGGATTACAAAATTGAACCACTATACCTGCTCCAACATACAAATATTTGTTTCATTTCCATAAAATAACAAAATTTTTTTAAAAATCAATTTTCAATGTTTTACCCAAGCAAGTCAAGGAATGTGCCACAGTTTGAGATTGAATTATGAGTTTTTTTATTTAGCTGGAGACGAAGAGTGGCTAATGCCTAAAATTCTCTTGGCCCTGAAGAAAAAGTTAGGTGATTTTTTTATACATTAGTTCTAAAACGGAGGGGGAACCTAGTTGAAGCAAATTTTCACAAAAGTAGAGTAAGCAAGAAGTTAAAAGATCAACTGATACATAAGAAATAAAACAGTGCCAGGTGAAAGAGGTAAAGCTGTCATGAATGACATACAACTTATAGATAATGAGGGCTTTGGGTGCTGACTGCATCTGCTGGTACCACTTAACTCAGCCTCTTATCAACAAATGCGTTCCTGTGTGCCCATTCCTGTGTGCCATTCCTGAGGCTTATAGTATAAAGCCTCACCCAGCTTTATACTATAGTTACACATTAATGGTGAGAGAATAACTAAAATGAAGAACCTAACATGGAGTCTGTTCAGCTCAAGAAGCTAATATAAAGCCTGAACAGCTTTTAGTATGAAATCTGAACAGTTAGTTTTAGCTGGCAAGAAGCTGGTTATCACAGCAATACTATAAAAACAAATTAGGACGGATCCAAGATGGCCAGTTAGGAGCAGCAAAGGATTGCAGCTCCCAGCGAAAGTGCAGAGGGTGAGTGGACACTGCATTTCCAGATGGATTTTTATTGCCCAGAGACCAGGAGATTCCCAGGCGGAGGAGCCCCACGGGTGGCCAGCGCAGCTGTTTTGGCCAGCATGGCGAGTCTCCACACAAAATACACGGGTCCAGGAGCCATTATAGCTGGCAATTGGAGCTCCTGGGAGACAGTCGCCCATTCAACTGACAAAAAAAGGGGACTGAAACAGGGAGCCAGGCCAGGAGATTTCCGGGCAAAAAAGCGCCACGAATCCCAGCACAGGTGTTTCAGCCAGCGCAGTGGGTTGCCGCACGGGAAATCACACACATCCAGGCACCTTTTCAACAGGCTACTAGAACACCTGGGGGACAGAGTCGCCCATTCAACTGAATTAAAAAAAGGGGGGGCGGGTTTGAGGCAGGAAGCCAGGTGATCAGGCTTGATGAGTCCCACCGCACCAAAAAAAAAAAAAACAGCAATCTGAAACGCTCTGGATTGACAGTTTCACAGCAAGCACAGCTGAACTGGGACAGTCCACCTCTTTGGGGGAGGGGCATCCGCCATTACTGAGGCAGTCCACCACTATGGAGGTAGTCTGCTATTGCCAAGGCAGCCCACAATTACAGAGAGAGTCTGCCATTACAGAGGTGGGCTGCCATTGCATAGGCAGTTCTAACTATATCCATATAAACAGGACTGCAGGGAAGTTCACACAGCAGCTGGGCAGAGTCCACAGCAGCTCAGCAAAGCCTCTGCAGGCAGATAGTATAACTAGGCTGCCTGCTTGCTGGGCAGGGCAGCCCTGAAAAAAGGCAGCAGCACAATACAAACTGACAAAGCCCTAACTCCCCAGGACAGAGCACCTAGGAAAAAAAAAGGCGTTTATAAGTTCTGCTGCAGCAGACTTAAACGTACCTGCTCAGCAGCTCTGAATGAACCACGGAGCTCACAACTCAGCACTTGAGCTCCTATAAAGGACAGACTGTATCCTCAAGTAGCTCCCTGACCCCTGTATATCCAAAGAGTCACCTCATAAAAAAGAACTCAGAGTGACAACTGGAGGGTATCCTTCTGGAACAAAGATAGCAGAAACAGAAACTGGCAGCAACCCTTACTGTTCTGCAGCTGCTGCAGGTGATCCCCAGGCAAGGAGGGACTGGAGTAGACCTCAGCAGTCCTATAGCAAAGGGGCCTAAATGTTAGAAGAAAAACTAAGAATCAGAAGGAAATAACTTCATCAACAAACTAGACGTCCACTCAGAGACTCAATCTGAAAGTCAACAACTGCAAAGGTGACAGGTAGATGAATCCACAAAGCTGGGAAGAAGCCAGCACAAAAAAAAAAAAAAGAAAACACCCGAAACCAGAACACCTCCCTTCCTACAAGAAATCACAAGTCCTCATTAGCAAGGGAACAAGGCTAGATGAAGAATAAGTGTGATGAATTGACAGAAACAGGCTTCAGAAGGTGGGTAATAAGAAACTTCTCTAAGCTAAAAGAACATGTTTTAACACAATGTAAAGAAACTAAGAACGCTGAAAAAGATTTGACGGAATGCTAACGAGAATAAACAACTTAGAAAGGAATATAAGTGAATTGATAGAGCTGAGAAACACAAAACGAGAACTTCGTGAAGCATGCACAAGTTTCAACAGCTGAATTGACCAAGCAGAAGAAAGAATATCAGAGGTCGAAGATCAACTCAATGAAATAAAACGAGAAGGCAAGATTAGAGAAAAAAGGGTAAAAAGGAATGAACAAAGCCTACAAGAAGTACGGGACTATGTGAAAAGACCTAATCTACATTTGATAGGTGTACCTGAATGTGACAGAGAGAATGAATCCAAGCTGGAAAATACTCTTCAGGATATTATCCAGGAAAACTTCCCCAATCAAGCAAGGCAGGTCAACATTCAAGTCCAAAAAATAGAGAACACCACAAAGATATTCCTCAAGAAGAGCAACCCCAAGGCTCATAATCGTCAGATTCACCAGGGTTGAAATGAAGGAGAAAATGCTAAGGGCAGCCAGACAGAAAGGTCGAGTTACCCACAAAGGGAAGCCCATCAGACTCACAGCAGGTCTCTCAGCAGAAACCCTACAAGCCAGAAGACAGTGGGGGCCAATATTCAACATCCTTAGAGAAAAGAACTTTCAACCCAGAATTTCATATCCAGCCAAACTAAACTTTATAAGTGGAGAAATAAAATCCTTTGCAAACAAGCAAGTATTCACAGATTTTATCACCACCAGACCTGCTTTACAAGAGCTCCTGAAAGAAGCACTATACATAGAAAGGAAGAACCAGTACCAGCCATTCCAAAAACATACCAAATGGTAAGAGCATTGACACGATGAAGAAACTGCATCAACTAACGGGCAAAACAGCCAGCTAGCGTCAAAATGGCAGGATCAAATTCACACACAACAATATCAACCCAAAATGTAAATGGGCTAAACACCCCAATCAAAAGACACAGACTGGCAAATTGGATAAAAAGCCAAAACCCATCGGTGTGCTGTATCCAGGAAACCCATCTCACATGCAAAGATACACAAAGGCTCAAAATAAAGGGACAGAGGAAGATTTACCAAGCAAATGGAGAGCAAAAAAAAGCATGAGTTGCAATTCTCATCTCTGATACAATAGATTTTAAACCAACAAAGAGGGCCCGGCACGGTGGCTCAAGCCTGTAATCCCAGCACTTTGGGAGGCCGAGGTGGGTGGATCACGAGGTCAAGAGATCGAGACCATCCTGGTCGACATGGTGAACCCGTCTCTACTAAAAATACAAAAAATTAGCTGGGTATGGTGGCGCGTCCCTGTAATTCCAGCTACTCAGGAGGCTGAGGCAGGAGAATTGCCTGAACCCAGGAGGCGGAGGTTGTGGTGAGCCGAGATCGTGCCATTGCAGTCCAGCCCAGGTAACAAGAGCAAAATTCCGTCTCAAAAAAAAAAAAGAACCAACAAAAATCAAAAGAGACAAAGAAGGACATTACATAATGGTAAAAGGATCAATGCAAAGAGAAGAGCTAACAATCCTAAATATATATGCACCCAATACAGGAGTGCCCAGAAAGTAAGTTCTTAATGACTTACAAAGAGACTCAGACTCCCACATAATAATAGTGGGAGACTTTAACACCCCATTGTCAATATGACACAGATCAATGAGACAGAAAATTAACAAGGATATCCAGGACTTGAACTCAGACCTGAACCAAGCAAACCAAATAGACATTTACAGAACTCTCCACCCCAAATCCACAGAATATACATTCTTGTCAGCACCACATCACACCTACTCTAAAATTGACCACATAATTAGAAGTAAATCACTCCTCAGCAAATGCAAAAGAACGGAAATCATAACAAACAATCTCTCAGACCACAGTGCAATCAAGTTAGAACTCAGAATTCAGAAACTAACTCAGAACCGCACAGCTTCATGGAAACTGAACAACTGGCTCTTGAATGCTGACTGGATAAACAATGAAATGAAGGCAGAAATAAAATCTTCTTACAAACCAACGAGAACGAAGACACAATATACCAGAATCTCTAGGACACATTTAAAGTAGTGTCTACAGGAAAATATATAGCAATGAATGCCCATATGAGAAGCAAAGAAAGATCTAAAATTGACACTCTATCATCAAAACTGAAAGACCTAGAGGAGCAAGACCAAAAAAACTCAAAACCTAGCAGAAGACAAGAAATAACTAAGATCAGAGCAGAACTGAAGGAGATAGAGACACAAAGAAACCCGTCGGAAAATCAATAAATCCAGGAACTGGTTTCTTAAAAAGATCAACAAAACAATCCACTACTAGCCAGATTAATAAAAAAGAAGAGAGAATAATCAAATAGATGCAATAAAAAACGATAAAGGTGTTATCACCATAGATCCCACATAAATACAAACCATCATCAGAGATTATTACAAACAACTCTATGCACATAAACTAGTAAACCTGAAAGAAATGGATAAATTCCTGGATGCTTGCACCCTCCCAAGCATAAACCAGGAAGAACTTGAAACCCTGAACAGACCAATAAGAAGGGCAGAAGTTGAGGCAGGAATAAAGAGCCTACCACCCAAAAAAAGTCCAGGTCCAGATGGGTTCACAGTCAAATTCTACCAGGCATACAAAGAGGCGCTGGTACCATTCATTCTGAAACTATTTCAAACAATCCCAAAAGAGGGAATCCTTCCCAAATAATTTTATGAGACCTACGTTGTCCTGATACCAAAACCCGGCAGAGACTCAACAAGAAAAAAAAACTTCAGCAATATTCATGATGAACATAGATGCAAAAATCTTCAATAAAATACTGGCAAACCGATTGCAACAGCACATCAAAAAGCTTATCCACCATGATCAAGTAGGCTTCATCCCTAAGATGCAAGGCTGGTTCAACATATGCAAGTCTATAAACGTAATTCATCACACAAACAGAACCAAAGACAAAAACCACATGATTATCTCAATAGATGCAGAGAAGGCCTTTGACAAAATTCAACAGCACTGTATGCCAAAAACCCTCAATAAACTAGGTATTGACGGAACGTATCTCAAAATAATAAAAGCTATTTACAACAAACCAACAGCCAATACCATACTGAATGGGCAAAAACTGGAAGCATTCCCTTTGAAATCTGGCACTAGATAAGGATGCCCTCTCTCACCAGTCCTATTCAATAGTATTGGAAGTTCTAGCCAGAGCAATCAGGCAAGAGCAATCAGGCAAGAAAAAGAAATAAAAGGTATTCAATTAGGAAAGGAGGAAGTCAAATTGTCTCTATTTGCAGACAACATGATTGTATATTTAGAAGACCTCATCATCTCAGCCCAAAATCTCCTGAACCTGATAAGCAACTTCAGCAAAGCCTCAGGATACAAAAATCAGTGTGCAAAAATCACAAGCATTCCTATACACCAATAACAGACTTAAAGGGAGCCAAATAGAGAATGAACTGCCATTCACAATTGCTAAAGAGAATAAAATACCTAGGAGTACAACTAACAAGGAATGTAAAGGACCTCTTCAAGGAGAATTACAAACCACTTCTCAACAAAATAAGAGAGGACAAAAACAGATGGAGAAACATTCCATGTTCATGGTTAGGAAGAATCAATATGGTGTAAATGGCCATACTGCCCAAGGTAATTTACAGATTCAACGCTATCCCCATCAAGCTACCCATGACCTTCCTCATAGAACTGGAAAAAACCATGTTAAACTTCATATGGAACCAAAAGAGAGCCCACATAGCCAAGTCAATTCTAAGCAAAAAGAACACAGTTGGAGGCATCACACTCTTAGACTTCCGACTATACTACAAGGCTACAGTAATCAAAACGGCATGGTACTGGTACCAAAACAGAGATATAGACCAATGGAATACAACAGAGGCCTCAGAGGCAACACCACACATCCACAACCATGTGATCTTTGACAAACCTGACAAAAACAAGCAATGGGGAAAGGAGTCCCTGTTTAATAAATGGTGTTGGAAAAACTGGTTACCCATGTGCAGAAAGCAGAAACTGGACCCCTTCCTGACATCTTACACTAAAATTAACTCCAGATGGATTAAAGACTTAAACATAAGACCTAACACCATCAAAACCCTATAAGAAAATGTAGGCAAAAACATTCAGGACACAGGCGTAGGCAAGGACTTCATGATCAAAACACCAAAAGCATTGGCAACAAAAGCCAAAATAGACAAATGGGACCTAATCAAACTCCACAGCTTCTGCATGGCCAAAGAAACAGTCTAAATTAGAGTGAATCGGCAACCAACAGAATGGGAAAAAATTTTTGCAATCTACCCATCTGACAAAGGGCTCATATCCAGAATCTACAAAGAACTAAAACAGGTTTACAAGAAAAAAACAAATAAGCCCATTCAAAATTGGGCGAAGGATATGAACAGACACTTTACAAAAGAAGATATACATGAGGCCAACAAACATATGAAAAAATGTTCATTATCACTGGTCATTAGAGATATGCAAATCAAAAGTACATTGAGATACCTTCTCACGCCAGTTAGAATGGCAATCGTTAAAGAATCAGGAGACAACTGATGCTGGAGAGGATGTAGAGAAATAGGAATACTTTTACACTGTTGGTGGGAGTGTAAATTAGTTCGACCATTGTGGAAGACAGTGTGGCAATGCCTCAAGGACCTAGAAATATAAATTCCATTTGACCCAGCAATCCCATTACTGGGTATATAACCAAAGGATTATAAATCGTTCTACTATAAGGACACGTGCACACAAAGTTTCATTGCAGCACTGTTTACAATAGCAAAGACCTGGAACCAATCCAAATGCCCATCAATGACAGACTGAACAGGGAAAATGTGGCACATATACACCATGGAATACTTTGCAGCCATCAAAAACGATGAGTCATGTCCTTTGTAGAAACATGGATGAGCCTGGAAACCATCATTCTCAGCAAACTGACACAAGAACAGAAAATCAAACACCACATGTTCTCACTCGTAGGTGGGTGTTGAACACATGGACACATAGAGGGGAGAATCCCACACGGGTCTGTCAGGGCGAAATAGGGGAGGGAAAGTGGAACATGGGAAGTTGGGGAAAGATAGCATGGGGAGAAATGCCAGATACAGGTGATGGGGAGGAAGGCAGCAAATCACACTGCCATGTGTGTACCTATGCAACAGTCTTGCATGTTCTTCACATGTACCCCAAAACCTAAAATGCAATTTAAAAAAAAATCGACTCAAAATAAATTTAACCAATGAAATTAAAAAAATCTATACACTAAATACAGTAAGGTATAAAATCTAGTGTATAACAAATTTATACACTAAATACAATGATAGAAATTGAAGCAGGCACAAGCAAATAAACGCATTCCATTGGAATAATATTGTCAATACACACACACACACACACACACACACATATTTTTTGAGACAAAGTTTTGCTCTTGTTACCCAGGCTGGAGTGTAATGGCGTGATCTCGGTTCACCACAGCCTCTGCCTCCTTGGTTCAAGCAATTCTCCTGCCTCAGCCTCCTGAGTAGCTGGGCTACAGGTGTGTGCCACCATGCCCAGCTAATTTTTTTTTTGTATTTTTAGTAGGGACGGGGTTTCACCATGTTGACCAGGATGGTCTTGATCTCCTGACTTCATGATCCACCCACCTTGGCCTTCCAAAGTGCTGGGATTATAGGCATGAGCCACCGCGCTCGGCCCAAAGTATATTATTGAAAGTGATTTGTGGATTCAAAGGCAATCCCTATCAAAATTTTCATGACATTATTCACAGTTATAGAAAACACAATTGTAGGCTGGGTGTGGTGGCTCACATCTGTAATCTCAGTACTTTGGTAGGCCAGGCGGGTGGATCACCTGAGGTCAGGAGTTTGAAACCAGACAGGTCAACATGGTGAAACCCCGTCTCTACTAAAAATACAAAGAAATAGCTGGATGTTGTGATGCATGCCTGTAATCCCAGCTACTCAGGAGGCTAAAGGAGGAGAATTGCTTGAACCTGGGAAGTGGAGGTTGTAGTGAGCTGAAATTGCGCCATGGCACTACAGCCTGTGCAACTAGAGTAAAACGCCATGTCAAAAAACAAAACAAAACCACAAAATTTTAAAATTCAAGTATAACCTTAAATCTGAGCTATCTTGAGAAAGAACAAAGCTAAGCGTATCATACTTTCTCATTTTAAACTTTATTTAAAGGTTATAGTAAGCAAAAAAGTACGGTATGTGTGGGTTAAGATGGCCGGGGGCAGACCTATGTTATTTCCAGTGAAATAATTATAAGCTTGCTGGCCGGGTGCAGTGGCTCAAGCCTGTAATCCCAGCACTTTGGGAGGCCGAGGCGGGTGGATCACGAGGTCGAGAGATCGAGACCAACCTGGTCAACATGGTGAAACCCCGTCTCTACTAAAAATACAAAAAAATTAGCTGGGCATGGTGGCGCATGCCTGTAATCCCAGCTACTCAGGAGGCTGAGGCAGGAGAATTGCCTGAACCCAGGAGGCGGAGGTTGCGGTCAGCCGAGATCGTGCCATTGCGCTCCAGCCTGGGTAACAAGAGCGAAACTCCGTCTCAAAAAAAAAAAAGAAAGAAAGAAAAAATTATAAGCTTGCTTTACTTATTGTACACTGAAGTTTATATGCCAAACTATGCTATATTAAATATTCGTGCAGTAAAGTAGAAATCAAGTGGCAACAGGAGGCCTAAGGTAAAAGACCATCTGAGAGCGCTGTAAAACTGTAGAACACCTCAGGGTGGTTGAAGAGCAGGAAATATTGATTTGGTCTCACGAATGCCTTCTCAACATGGAGTCTGCAAGAGGGTCTCCTAGAGAAGACCTGTACAAGATCTCTGAGAAGAGAGGCAACCTCTGCTCATAAGATCCAGGAGAATCTTTGCAGATGGGAACTTATAAGGAAGAAAAGCCTTGCAGGGCAGAGATAACCCAACACCACAGGCTCTGCCTAGGTTCTCAGAATCTGGAGTGGTTTTGATTGTCTGTGTAAGCAATGCTGGGGAAATAAAAGCTCCTTGATGCATTGGGTGTGGTCAGACCTGGGGGTTCCTTATCAGCTATGCTTCTGATGCAAATGCACCTTAATAGCAACCAGTGGTGGAATTCAGTGTTCTAGGACATCTGTTAGTGAATACTGCAGACCACACGGCTCCCTATGGTTATCTTGCCCACATTAGTCTCAAGGCCTTGTCCAACATTTTCAAAGCCTCCCCTGATCACCTCCCCTGCTCCCCCACCCCTCAATTAACAAGTGTATGCACCTAATAAAAGCCTGTGGAAACCAGAACTCTACACCAAGGCAGCCTCCATGCTGTAAAATTCTACTCTTGTGTCTGTGACATGGTAAAAAGCCCCATAAAACTGCATACCTCAACCATACCTCAGCTTTCTGTTGAAACTGCTCTCTATAACCCAAATGTGAATAAGTAATTAAGGACTGTAATCGCCACCCTACCCAGACAATGTGTAAAGAAATGCTAATCTTGACTTTTGTGAACCACTTAAGTAACAACCAGAATATCAAAAAGTCCCCTGGCCCTCGGAATGTCCAGAGCCCCTCACCCTCATCTTCACCCAGGAATCCACTGGAATGTCCAGAATCCCTCACCCTCATCTCCGCCCAGAATGTGATTTAAAGAATTCATTAGCCCTCAGAATGTCTGAAGCCCCTCACCCTCACTCCCAAGGTGATTTTTGCAGGTATAAAAGGTCTTGACACCCTCCTTTCGGGGCCACGGATTGGAGAGACGCGAGTCCTCAGTGGTCGCCGGCAATAAAGACACCTGCAATTTGGCATACTTTTGTCTTGGTGTTGACTTTTTATGCTCGGGTCAGTACAATAGTATCTTTGTCTATATTTCCTTTTCTCAATCCCTCCTCACTGCCGGGACTAAGGGCACTTACAAACAGTGTAGGGGCTGGTACCCAACATCATGTACACAAATACAGACACAAAAAACAATGGAACAGAAAAGAGAGCCCAGAAACAAATCCATGCATACATACAAGACCAACTAATTTTGGCAAGGGAACTTGCAGAAATTATAGTCTTGTCAATACATGGTGCCAGAAAAACTGGATATCCACAAGCAAAAGAACAGAAGTAGATCATTTTCTTACACCATACCCCAAAATTAACTCAAAATAAAACACTTAAATGTAAGATAAAAAACCTTAGAACTCCTGAAGAAAACATATGGAAAATCCTCGTTGGTACTCTTCTTGTGCTGTAGCTGGAACCTGAGCAATGCCATTTTATAAAAGACAAAGCTGTTTCCCAAAAATAAGTTGTAACAGCTGCCCCATTCTCCTCACAATAACTGCTGGCCTCGGTTGGCTTCTGTAAATAAAACTGCTAACTTGCTCTGCAAAATGCTCACTATGTAAAGCTGCTTACCTTTTCTTATCAGTAACTGCCAGAATTTCTGGCCTTTGCTTACCGGTAATGACCAGAATAAGCAGCCCAAGCTAATTCCATCCTGGCCCCTGTGACTTGTAATAAGTAACTAAAATCTGTGGATTCCACCTCTGCCCAGACGGTGTGTAAACTAATGCTTATCTTGACTTCTGTAAACCACTTAGGTAACAATCGAAGTGACAAGTCCCCTAACCCTCGGAATGTCCGGAGTCCCGCACCCTCCTCTCTGCCCGGGAGGTGATTTACGGAATCCCCTGGCCTTCAGAATGTCTGAATCCCTTCACCCCCACCCCCGCCCTACACACTCACTCCAAGGTGGTTTATACGAGCATAAAAAGGTCTTGTCACCCTCCTTACAAGGCCATGGGTTGGAGAGACGTGAGTCCTCCGTGGTCGCTGACAATAAAGACCCTGCAATTTGGCATACTTTTGTCTTGGTGTTAATTTTGTAATCTCGCATTTCAATACTTCAATCTTGGCAATAACTTTCTTGATATGCTAACAAAAGAAAACACAAACAAATGAGACTGTATCAAAGTAAACTGCTTCTGTACAGAAAAAAAAATTTTTTCCTAAAAACCCTACATGATACAAATATTTGCAAGCAATATATCTGATAAGTTAATTCTGGGAGGTGGGTGGATCACCTGAGGTCAGGAGTTAGAGACCAGCCTGACCAACATGAAGAAACCCTATCTCTACTAAAAATACAAAATTAGCCAGGCTTGATGGTGCATGCCTATAATCCCAGCTATTTGGGAGGCTGAGGCAGAAGAATCGCTTGAACCCAGCAGGTGGAGGTTGCAGTGAGCTGAGAGCACCACTGCACTCCAGCCTGGGCAACAAGAGGAAAACTCCATCTCAAAAAGAAAAGAAAAGAAAAGAAAAAAGTTAATATCCATGTCCAAAATGTATAAAAAACTTCTGCAATTCAAAGCAAAACAATAATGATGAGGATAAGCCATTCAAAAAAAGCCAATAAAATTTTTTTTCCCAAAGAAGACATACATACAAGGGAAATGCTGTATGCTGTTGGTGAAATGTAAATTGATAAAGTCATCATAAAAAAAAAAACTAAAAAATAAAAATGGAAATATCATATAATCCAGCAATACCACTTCTGAGCATACTACCAAAGAAATTAAATGAGCACCTTGAAGAAATATCTTCAGCCCCATGTTCATTGTAGTATATTTACAATTGTCAAAATATGGTGTGTATATATCCACAGTAGAATGCCATTCAGCCGCAAGAAAAAAGGAAATCTAGCCATTTACAACATGGATAGACCTAGAGGACATGATGCTAAATAAAATTAGCCAAACACAAAGAGACAAAGAAACTCCTTCTTCTCACTGAGATGGGGAATCGAAAAATGTAAACTCTGCTTTCACAAAGCAGAAAGTAGAATGGTGGTTGTTAGTGCCTAAGGGTGGGAATATGAGGAGATATTCAAAGAGTACAAATTTTTAGTTATAAGTTGAGTAAGTCTGAGAAATCTGATGTACAATAGCATTAGATTAGAAAAATTGCATTATGTTTATAGTTAGTAATACTGTAATGTATGCTTATAATTTGCTAAAACAGTAGACCTTAAGTGTTATTACCAAAAACAATATAGTTATCTATGTGAGGTAAAAGATGTGTCGATCAACTTGACTATATTTTTACAATAAAATATATGCATATCAAATCATCACAAAAATATGTGTATCAAATCACTACACTGTACACATTAAATATATACTTTTATTTATCAGAAAAATCCATATCACACAAAGATGTATAGTAAGTCCTCACTTAATGTAAAAAACAGGTTCTTGAAAACTGTAACTTGAAGCAATGTTGCTATATGCCAAACATAACTCTTGTTGTATCAGTTAAACTCTGGTAAAATTAGTTTTCTTTTTCTTTTTTCTTTTTTTTTTTTTTGAGACAGAGTTTTGCTCTTGTCATCTAGACTGGAGTGCAATGGTACAATCTTGGCTCACTGTAACCTCTGCCTCCCAGGTTCAATGATTCTCCTGCCTCAGCCTCCAGAGTAGCTGGATTACAGGCACTTGCCACCAAGCCCAGCTAATTTTTTGTATTTTTAGTAGACATGGGTTTTGCCATGCTGGCCAGGCTGGTCTCGAACTCCTGACCTCATGATCCACCTGCCTCGGCCTCCTAAAGTGCTGGGATTACAGGCGTGAGCCACCACACCTGGCCCTAAAATCAGTTTTCTTAAATGATATGTTGCTTCACTTTCAGTTTCCAAGAATCTATCAACAATGTTTACTATATACCTCTATAACTTATTTAGGTGTGCATGTGTGTGAGAGACACACATTTTTATATATATAGATAGATAGATCTCAATGACAGAATCTCAGGCTTCCTACTAAATAAGACTAAATTATAATAGTTATTAAGAAATAAGGTAACGGGTGGGTCAGGGGCTTGGCCTCTGCCTGGCCACCACGCCGGGGCTGGAGGTGCTAGTCCGCGGCAAACCTAGGCAGGGCCCGGGGCACGGGTTTCAAGATGCTGAACGTCCCTTCCCAGTCTTTCCCAGCCCCCAGGTCTCAGCAGCTTGTTGCCACTGGGGGGGCGTAGCAAGGTACCTTTAAAACAGGGCAGAAGCCTTATAGATTGGATTCGACTGACCAAAAGTGGAAAGGATCTAACAGGATTAAAAGGCAGGTTAATTGAAGTAACTGAAGAACTTAAAAAACACAACAAAAAAGATGATTGCTGGATATGCATAAGAGGTTTCGTTTATAATGTCAGCCCTTATATGGAGTATCATCCTGGTGGAGAAGATGAACTAATAAGAGCAGCAGGTTCAGATGGTACTGAACTTTTTGATCAGGTTCATCGTTGGGTCAATTATGAATCCATGCTTAAAGAATGCCTGGTTGGCAGAAAGGCAGTTAAACCTGCTCTTCTGAAAGAATGATTTTCTTCAGGGACTCCTGACAGATGCCTACACATTTTCAAAACTTAGCTAAAATACTACTTCTATGGAGTCTTTTCAAATTTCTTCCAGTTGAGACATTCTTTTGTGCTTCAGTAACACCTTCTGCATACCTCTTTTACAACACTTACCACACACTGTCTTAAAAATAATGAAGGATATGAACAGACACCTCTCAAAAGAAGACATTTATGCAGCCAACAAACATATGGAAAAAAGCTTATCATCACTGATCATTAGAGAAATGCAAATCAAAACCACATTGAGATACTATCTCATGCCAGTTAGAATGGTGATCATTAAGAAGTCAGGAAACAACAGATGCTGGAGAGGATGTGGAGAAATAGAAATGGTTTTACATTGTTGGTGGGGGTAGAAATTAGTTCAACCATTGTAGAAGACAGTGTAGCAATTTCTCAAGGATCTAGAACCAGAAATACCCTTTGACCCAGCAATCCCTTTACTGGGTATATACCCAAAGGATTATAAATCATTCTACTCTAAAGACACATGCACATGTATATTTGTTTATTAGCAGCACTATTCACAATAGCAAAGACTTGGAACCAACCCAAATGCTTATCAATGAAATGTGACACATATATACCATGAGTTATTATGCAGCCATAAAAAGGAATGAGTTCATGTCCTTTGCAGGTACATGGATGAAACCTGAAACCATCATTCTCAGCAAACACAGGAACAGAAAACCAACCACTACATTTTCTCACTCATAAGTGGAAGCTGTTCAATGAGAACACATGGACACAGGGAGGGGAACGTTATAGATCACTGCCTGTTATGGGTGGGGTTTAGGGGAGGGATAGCATTAGGAGAAATACATAATGTAGGTGATGGGTTGATGGGTGCAGCAAACCACCATGGCACGTGTATACCGGTTGAACAAACCTGCACGTTCTGCACATGTACCCCAGAATTTAAAGTATAATAACTAAAAAGAGCATATCATCCAGGCATGGTGGCTAGCCCCTATAATCCCAGCACTTTGAGATGCCAAGGCAGGTGGATTGCTTGAGCTCAGGAGTTCAAGACCAGCCTGGCCTACATAGCAAAAACCTGTCTCTACAAAAAAAAATTAGCCAGGCCTGGTGGTCCATGCCTGTGGTCCCAGCTACTTGGGAGGCTGAGGCAGGAGAACTGCTTGAGCCCAAGAGGCAGAGGTTGCAGTGAGCCAAGACAGAACTACTGTACTCCAGCCTGAGTGACAGAGTGAGGCCCTGTCTCAAAAAGAAAAAAAGAGCCTATTGACTTTAATTCCGTTTATTGTATTTTTGAATATGTAATACACTAACATGGTTCAGGAAGTGCCCTTATAGTTCTGCCTCCCATCTACTGTTTTCCTCTCCTATGCATACACCAAGGACATGTTTTTTGCTGTTGTTATTGTGACTCTTTCCAAATTATCTTTATGTATGATAAGCAGACTGAATGTATTTTCTTATTTTCCTAACTTTGTATCCAAATGGTATCATATTATGTCAGTATCCCTATTAAGGTGATCAATAGATGTTTATTAAAAGAATGAGCATACTGATAAAAGAAAGATCTTCCTACTAGATCTTTCTTTATTCCTAGTAGATCTTTCTTTATTCCAGGATATCCTCCTGTGCCTCTGCTCAGCAGAGGTAAACTAGATTTGGGTCATAATTAAAGATCTTTACCAAGAGTGAGCTACGTGCCATTAGATCACAGCACCAGCCTTCTAACTGACTCTGACCTCTCCGGAAATAGAGGTTATCAAAGTAAATAGTTTAATCAGCATTATGAGAAGATACAAATTTGATTGGCCATGAAGCCAACTAAATGACGGAATTAGGCACCAAGAGAAGATATCGGATTTTTTTTCAGGGAGGAAAGTATCTCCTGTGACTAAAATGATTTAGATGTAAATATGCTTAAGAGTGAAAAACAGTCTCCTCCATTTCTATGACTCAGTTTTTGAAAAAAGTTATAAAAGTAGACTAGAAAAATTTTTAAAAGTAACCCAGATTCTTTGAGTGGAAGTTCTGTTCATACTAGTACTTCTTGTAAAAAAAGACTCAGGAGAAAAAAAAAAAAAAACCTGCTAATTTCACAGAATCCAGAAAGTTCTGACAGATTCAAAGCTATTCATATCAGGCAAGAAATAATCATATGAGACAGTATTTTTTTTCTTAGAAACAAATTACCTGGGATAATTTTTAAAAATTTGTGAACCTCTTAGATAAAAATTGTTTTAAATGATGAGATTTATTAAACTGTTGACTATATTGTGCACTGAACACATATTTCACAATAAATTTATTTACGTTCTATGATAAAACAAACAATCACAGCTGTAACAGCAAAGACAGATAAAACTGACTGGATGAAAGTAGGTGACTTTCATGTAATGGCCAGATTTGTATCTGGCAGTTGAGAAAGCTCATTTTGACGTATAATTTAAATGGTTTTTAGGCCCACTATTTTTTTAGGAAACATTAACTCTAACAATGGATTGCCAAGAAAAACAGGACTATGTTTCAGGAGAGACAAATCTAATTTTGGCTTTCTTGCTGGAGAGCTGTGGAATTCATTCAAGTCCTTTGACCTCTGATTTTCAGCCTTTATTAGGAGATCAGGTGATAATTTGCTGTATATTGTTAAAATTCCTTTCAGCTATAAAATTATTTTGGTAAAATGAGGAAAAGGAAAATGATGGTCATTTGGCTTCCTTAATGATTATTATTTTGGGGTGAATGAATGAGGTAGAGTTAATTATGGAATTTTTGGTGATTAAAAACTGGAACATGAAATTTGAAAGCTTTGATTTTAAATATGTTAGTTTCTTTTTGTATGAAACAAGATGATGTCAGCTTAACAAAATGATGTCTTTCAATGTAACTACTTGAATATTTTTTGTTAGCTTATCCCTTTTATTTTTTGAAATTTTGACAACTTGCTGAGGTGTTTATTTTGACTATAATGGTATAACACTTGTGGTTATTAGAATATAATATAGCTTTGTGAGTTGACTGCCATCCTGAAATAAAATCTGTTAATTTTTCTTCCTGAGTTTGTAACACTAATAATTACATGTATACATGCAAAAATCTGAACATATTTTAAACTTATAATAGCGATCACTTTATGCATTGAACTCAGTAAAAGGGAAAGATAAAAAAAAAGCAATAAGGTAACGACTGAGAGCTTAATATACACTTAGCAAGGTTCCTGCTTGGTTAATGACATAGAGCATTTAAGAAACCTAGAAGGTGAGCAGATACTTTATCCAGTAGTGTCCAACCCTTATCTATGGTGGTAGATGTCACAAAATTATCCATGAATCTTTTTTTTTTTAAGCTCATCAGCTATCGTTAGTATTAGTGTATTTTATGTGTGGCTCAAGACAATTCTTCCAGTGTGGCCCAAGGAAGCCAAAAGTTTGGAAATCTGTGCTTTAAACTACATTAAAATTTGAAAATTTGCACATAAAGAGTTTAAATCACAAATCTCAGTTTATACTAAAACAATAACATTTTGAAGTAATATTACATTTTTTCATATTTAGGAAAATACTTATTGTTCTGATAAAATTGCTGAATAAGAATTTTTGTAGAATTATATTTGCAACCTCTGTAAGATTAAAAATCACTAAGCAGAAAAGATACAACATCTGTCCCTGGTATTCCTAGGATTTCTGAACCAAATTCCAGTATGACCACTACTCACCTTACACATTTTAGACAAGATACAAAAAGAGTATTTGAAAAAAATACTTTGACATAGATCTCCTCAATATACAAATATTCCAATGTCTCCAAAAGCAATGGAACAGCATCAGATCATGCAGCCCCTTATAAGTGATAAAGTAGACATTGGCTTTCCCTGTAAACTTTAAGGGAGATCACTAAAAAGATAATTCTTAGGCCGGGCGCCGTGGCTCACGCCTATAATCCCAGCACTTTGGGAGGCCGAGGCAGGCGGATCATGAGGTCAAGAGATCGAGACCATCCTGGCCAACATGGTGAAAGCCTGTCTCTTTAAAAAAAAAAAAATTTTTTTCTAAAAAAGAAAAAAGAGAGAATTCTCAGAAGATTTAACAACATGGGACAGAAGATGCCCCTATTCATGAATATTGGGAAAAAATGCAGCCTTTTCAGAAATTATTTCCACTGAAGCAGAGCTTTCCCAAACTACCTTTAAAGGCCTGGCTTCCTTCTTCATCTTAGTCCCCTTGCCTGTGTCCTCTCCTTCATTCACTGTCACCTAACTGGCTACTGCCTCATGTATCTTTACATTGTAGGGCTCTTTTCTTTGCTCCAGACAGGTGACCAGGTCTGGGTTAGAGAGAGCAACACCTGTTTTATTTTAAAAAGTTAACATGACTATTGTTAGGGATTCTCCAATTACCAACCTAGTATATGTGAAGCAGAAAAGAGAAATTATGGAAGATCCTAGAAAATTAATTCAAAAATTGTTCCCTGACAGAATCTTTAAAATATTTAAATATTTTAAATCTGTAGGTTCCACTACCAAATACTACTGAATCAAAATAAGTGGTGCAAATTGTATTTTAAGATGTGGAAAACAATATTTCATGTAATTGAATTTCTAGAATTGCCACTAACCTAGAGTGGAAGACACAAATTAGTTCAAAAAAAGAGAAGGTTTATGTAAAGATGAAACATCTTAAAGATACTCTTTTTTTTTTTTTTTTTTTTTGAGACAGAGTCTTGCTTTGTCACCCAGGCTGGAGTGCAGTGGCACGATCTTGGCTCACTGGGTTCAAGTGATTCTCCTGCCTCAGCCTCCTGAGTAGCTGGGACTACTGGCGAATCCCCGGCTAATTTTTTGTATTTTTAGTGAAGACAGGGTTTCACTGTGTTAGCTAGGATGGTCTCAATCTCCTGACCTCATGATCCACCCGCCTCGGCCTCCTAAAGTGCTGGGACTACAGGCATGAGCCACGGTGCCTGCCCAAGATATTCTTTTTTACACCAGCAAATTCCCAACAGTATCTTGAAGAAAGAAACTGAAATTAATCCACATAAATTTCAAATGTTCCCAAGAAGACATTCTACACAAATAGAAACTAAAACTCTGAGGGAGTATTAGGAATTGTGCAGTAAAGTTATTAAAGTTATCCTCACCCAGGGAGACCAGGTTTCTACAGTTCTCCAACATTACATCTCTATATAAATTCTGCTGGGTAGGGTCCAGGCATTTCCACTCTTCTGGAGAGAATTCTATGGCCACATCCCTGAATGTTAAGAGTTCCTGAAAATACATATGTATCAAGTGACAGAGTTCTTAATTTGACTACAGGTGAAATGAATTAAGAGAACTAGTTCTTACATGTGACTGAGTAGGATTATCTGCTTAAATAAATTTCAACACAGTAATGTTCTCTACAGTATTCTATAGCTCTGCAGAAAAAGGAAGGCATTCCAACATTTTCTGTTCCTGCAATAAAAATATGGGCTACACTGACATGACCCTACCAAAACCAAGCAGAGTAAGCCCTGTGACCTCTTGGAAAACAGATTGAACTCACCTCTCGTTAAAGTATCTGGAAGTCCTCATGCTTGACCTTGGCCTCGCTGTAATTTGTGGGAAACTTAATTTTAAAAACAGAAATGTTTCCACCCAGAACAACAGACAGGATCTGTGGGGAAGACCCCAAGTGATGATTTCTCTTCAAATTGTGCAGGAGATCATATTGGAAGACTGGGCTGAGAGCCACTTAGCTAAGCATTGCCTCTCAAGCTTCAATGCCATATAAATTATATGATATTCTAGACCTCACGGTAACAAAATTTTGCAGGTTTGAACAGAGTCTGTGAATTAGCTTCTTATAGTTAAGTCTCCCATTAATGCTCATGTTCCTCCTCCTAGAACCATTATAGTACCACTCAGCTATAGAAAGCAGGCACAGCACACAGAGTCCCTTACACCAACACCCTTATCACAACACAGATACTTTTCATCTGAAGACAAGATCACCAATCATCATCCTGAAGCATGGCATTCTCGGCCTTTAAAGTTTACAGAGGCTGGAGATGGTGTCAATGTCTGAGTTGAAAAGAAAAATTAATAACAATAGTAGCCTGTAATTGCTGCATAATAAAGTTTACTGTCTTGTGTTCAATATAAAACCTAACCCCCAGCTCTGCTTGAAATTTACTAACTCCCTGTAAAATCTACCTTATCTATTCTCCCTACATTCTCAGCAAAGTTCCCAAGCATCTCAAGACTCCTGTTTTTCTTGCAGACTAGCAGCAAGGTCACAGGGCAAGACAACACCCAAAGAATGTGTAATGTGTTTCTCAAAATGCTATTTTCAAATGTAACATACATCACAAGACATGTCACAAATTAACTATTCTTTGTTATGGCTTCTGTAAACCTGTTAGCTGCTACATCATCCTGGATATGTAAAAGTCAAGCCCTGTCTTTGTTAGGGGCTCAGCCTTGGGATGCTAATCCACTGAGCCAGTGGCCACCTTAATAAAAATCCTCCTGTTTCACCATTGGTCTCTGGTCTCCTGAATATTCTATAACAGAGTAAGTCTGCATTTGAAAAACAACATGTGCAACTGCATTAATGCAATGTTTATGGAGCATGTACTATGTGCTCAGTAGTATGTCACAGAGCACTGTGCTGTGACACTAACATTATGTGTTAATACTCATAATGTGACATGGTAAAAGCCCCTCACCCTCACCCCCTGCCCAGGAGGTGGTTTACAGAATGTCCAAAGTCCACTGGCCCTTGGAATGTCCAAAGCCCCTTGCTCCCACCCCCGCCCAGGAGGTGGTTTATGGGCATAAAAGGTCTTGACACCCTCCTTTTGGGGCCACAGGTTAGAGAGACGCAAGTCCTCTGTGGCCACTAGCAATAAAGACCCTGTAATTTGGCCTGGTCTTTGTCTCAGTGGTGATTTCGCACTTGCTTGGTTACAATGGTTGGAGGCCCCAGTGAGATTTGTCCATCATCACTCAGACAAAATGCCTGGAGTTTCGCCCAAGCAGCTGCCCCCACCTCAGGGATCTCTAGGGGAGGCACCCCCTGACATGTTCCAGGGCCCCAGAGGGCGACTACCTAGCCAACATTCACACAAAATTCCTCAGGGTCCCGGGAACCTCCGGAGATAAGTCAGGTCTAGAAATGGGGGGAGGGGAAGCAGGGTGCAGAGCAGTCAGAAGCCTAGGTCAGGAGATCCAGATGCAGTCATTAGTCTCTGACTAGGCAAGCCTACGATGAGATGTCACTGAAGGCTCAGGTAATTCAGTTTTCGGTTGTCTTCCGTAACCTCGCTGTAAGTGAGAGAGTGAGTGCGTATATGTGTGATCCCACAGCCAGCAGGCTACAGTATCTGTGTACCTTCACCTGCGGTTCCACGGAGACATTATAGGGCATAACGGTGATTCGCCTCTGCAGTAACCAGGCCCAGGGTTTATATGGGTACACCCTAGCCAAGACACTCTGAAATATCCCTTCAGCGATGTGGCGGGGCAGGCATCAGATTGGTCTCTCACGGGGGACACCCACCTGTGTCTGTCTACCCCTCATGTGGTTGTGTCTTTACTGTAAATTCTCTAGTTTTCTAAGGTGCTTACCGACTGATCTGCAATGGTTTGTTGAGGCCTGCCTCACTAAGGCCAGATGATGTTTTCAATTGGTTAAATAACCTTTGGTTGCAGCGGACTTTCACTGATTTTATGCCCCTAAAAATAACTTTATTCTCCTTTCTTTTCCTCTTCCTCTTTCACCATTAGGCCCCTCCTTTTCTCATTTAAGTGTCTGGGAGGCAATTCTGCCCCCCGCCCCCGCGACTCCCTGGTGTTGGGAGGCTGACTGCCATCAACCAGTTGATACTGACTGGAAAAGGTTTTGTGATCTCTATGAGCTGTGGTGAATTAAAAATTCACACCCAAGGCTCGTCTGAAGGTAGTGAGTTATCTCAATTGATTGTTCACAGTCAGTTACAGATTGAACTCCTTGTTCTACTCTTTCCCCGCTTCTCACTACTGCACTTGACTAGTCTTTACCAAAGTGGTTTTTTTTTTATCTCCTAAAAGCTCACCATTCACCGCTCTGGTCCCACCCGGGTAACATCGACCCGCACCCCTGGCCACTTCCGCCCGTCTTCTTCCCTCGTGCCTATCAAGCCTGTTGCCCCCTCCTTACATAATCTTGCTACAGTAGCATACTTAAAACTGGTGCTGGAAAGGGCAAGGCACAAGTACAATGCTTTCCAGAACTGAGAGTACTGTAAAAGCAAACAGGTCCAGGTAACAACTGGCAGGTAAAAAAAAAAAAAAAAAAAAACAGATGGGATCATCTGGTTCCTGGCCCTGCACCCTCCTCTAATGCATGATGGTCAATTTCAAGGCTAAATTTTCAGGCCAATATGTGGTAAAACTAACCCCGAAAAAACTCCGCACTCTGTGTAAATTGGAGTGGCCATCGTTTAAGGTAGGGTGGCCAGACTCTGGGACATATAATCCCAAGGTAACCCAGGCTGTATGAAATGTGGTGACAGGTTCCCCAGGGCACCCAGATCAGTTTCCATACACTGACCAGTGGCTAGGCTTAGTTCAACAGCCCCCGCTTCACGGCTTAAACACTGCATAAAACAAGCTGGGCTACAAGTTATGCTGGCAGGCCCTAATTGAGCCCCTTCTGCGCCAGCCATACTTCCCTCCCCAGTGAAAGATCAGGAATTACCTCCACTCTACTCAAGGCCCTCTAAACCAGGGCCTCAGCACCCCCTTACCCCGGACAGCACCAGTAACCAACGCTGTCCCCCCCTGCACACCCACAGCAGGGCTCCACACCCACCAGCGGTCCTTCCTCTCTGAGAGGCACCCCTAACCGGAGAAAAGAATCAGGGCCACTCATTCTTTGTTCATATCCCCTTCTCATCAAGTGACTTATATAACTGGAAGGTAATAAAAATTAAAGAGAGAGCCAAACATCAGGTGCTGGAACAAGCTTTATTAAAAGCAGGGGAAAAGCTGCCAGGCGGCACCCAAAATTGGCGCACAGCACCCGTGGCATGGCAAAAGAAATTTTTATGGCCTGCAAGCCAGCAGATGCATCCAGTGTAAGGGGCTGTGCAGAAGGGGAAGGGCTGGGGAACTGCTAAGACAGTTCCCGGGAGGGGGTTGTGCTACGGAACTGCTGAAATAATTCCCGGGAAGGAGTTGTGCTGAAGAACTTAAAAGAGGCGGTGAGCTTTTAAAATGGAGTAACTTCTGTCAGAAGAGTCAACATCCCCTGTTCTCTGAGAAGCCCAAGGCTTTGACAGGGCTCTTGGAATCTGTACTCCAGACTCATCACCCCACTTAGGACAAGTGCCAACAATGATTACTGATTCTGTTCACCACAGAAGAAAGAAGCAGAATTAGACAGGAAAGCCCTGAAAGTCATCATAGGTCCAGGGGGAGAAACAGTAAAAAAAAAAACAAAAACAAAAAAATGAGACCAAATTGAAGAGGTTTTTCCCACTACCCGACCCCAATGGGACCCCAACACTTGGGGGGTCACCAGGCTCTGAACACTTTTCACCGGTATCTTTTAGCAGGGGTTAAGGAGACAGCTAGGTGGCCCATCATCCTCTACAGTGACTCAGGGTCCAAAGGAATTGCCGGCTGCTTTCCTAGAATACCTAGAAGAGGCGTGTGCAGTACCTAAACTCCTATAGACCCTGAGGTCCCAGAAAATCAGCGGGCCATTAACTTGGCCTTTGTCTCCCAGTCGGCTCCAGATATCAGGAAAAAGTTACAAAAATGATATGGATTCCAGGGAATAAATTTTTTTTTATAGATATGGGGTCTCTCCATGTTGGCCAGGCTGGTCTCGAACTCCTGACCTCAGGGGATCTGCCCACCTCAGCCTCCCAAAGTGCTGAGATTACAGGCGTGAGCCACCGAGCCCGGCCGCCAGGGAATAAATTTAATCAAATTGCTGGAAATTGCCCAGAAGGTTTTTAATAACAGGAATACTTCTGAAGCCACACAAAACAAAAAAGTTACTAAAGCAGTAATAGCAGCCCTGCAGGAAACACGAGTCATTCCACAAGGGCAGGAGACCTTACAAAAGGGCCCCGGTTAGGAAAAAATCAATGTACATATTGTAAACAAGAGGGACATTCAAAAATAAGTGGCCCGAGAAAAAAAGAAGAGTAAACACTCAAGAAAAGTCACTGAGGGCTATCCTCAATTTAGAGGGTCAGGACTGACGGGGCCAGGGCTCTTATTAGTTAAGCCCC